TAACCAAAATGCCCAGGGTAATGATATTTGGTCAGTAGCATGCTGGGATGAAGGACTACCAAGTTTGTTCAAATGAATACCCTTGAATTATATTCAAGGTCATAGGGGTCAGATATGTTAAAAACTTTAAACAACTTCTGAATAACCAAAATGCCCAGGTTGATGTTATTTGGCCAGTAGCAGGCTGAGATAAAGGGCTACCAAGTTTGTTCAAATAAATGATCTTCACCCATATTCAAGGTCACAGGGGTCAGTTGTCTTAAAAAACGTTTAATCAACTTCTTCTGAATAACCAAAAGGAACGGTATGGTGATATTTGGTCAGAAGCATGCTCAGTGAAGGGCTACCAAGTTTATTCATGGTCACAGGGGTCAAATATGTTAAAAACTTAAAACAACTTATTGTGAATAAGCAAAAAACACAGGATGATGATATTTAACCCGTAACATGATGGGATGAAGGGCTACCAAGTTTGTTCAAATGAATGACCTTGACATTTATTCAAGGGCACATTTGATCAAATATGTTCAAAATCTTAAAAACGACTTCTACTGAATAACCAAAAGGCTGAGGATATTGATATTTGGCCAGTAGCATGCTAGGATGAAGGGCTACCAAGTTTGTTCAAATGGATGACCTTGAATTTTATTCAAGATCACAGGGGTCAAATATGTTAAAACCTTTAAACGACTTCTTCTGAATAACTGTAAGGCCTAGATTGTTGAAATGTGGTCAGTAGCATGCTGGAATCAAGGACTACAAAGTTGTTCAAATGAATGACCTTGAATTATATTCAAGGTCACAGGGGTCAAATTTGTTAAAATCTTTAAAAGACTTCTTTTGAATAACCATGAGGCCCAGAATGTTGATATTTAGCCAGTAGCATGCTTGGATGAAGGGCTATCAAGCTTTTTCATTTGAAAGACCTTGACCCACTTTCAAGGTCACATTTGGTCAAATATGTGTAAACATTTAAATGACCTAATTTCAATAAACAAATGGATAGTGTGGTGATATTTTGCAAGTTGCATCTTGAGATGAAGGGCTATAAAATTTGTTCAACATAATTACCTTGTTCGACTTTCAAGGTCACAGGATTAAATGTTTTTAAATCTTTTAACAGGTTCTTTTGAATGACTTCTAATCATAAATAGTTATTATACTGATATATAGCCTATAGCATTATTTTAGATCACTTATAAGGTTACAAGTGTGAGATTTATACCAGGTGAGCGATGCAGGCCCTTTGGGCCTCTTGTTAGAAATTATATAAAATGTGTTTTATTTTATCCTCTGCACAAATGTATAACTTTCACAAATTCACGATTGAATTTGGCAGATAAGATGGATTTTAAATAAAAATTATTACCGTAAATTGTTCCTATATATATTTATACAGTACTTACATGACAATTTATATGATAGTATACTAACCCGTGTGTTTGTAGAGATTTTACAACCATTTCCTTTATCATACCACATGACCATTCCTTTGTAGGCTTTGTATGTACGATGTATAAATGTCAAACTGATTGGGTACTATTGAACAATAATGTCTTGTAGATAGATACATCAGGTGTTAGACTGGCTACCATTGGACAACAATGCCTTGTAGAGTAGGTGTTAGACCCATATACATTGTTTCTGTTTACCTATGTTAAGTTTCTAATTAAGCCACAATAAAAGATGTAAATTCAATACAATAAACTAATTATAGAAATACAAACGTTTTGTTTGTTTTTATTCCTATAACACTTATCAACGATAAAAAAGACGCTTTTCTTTTTCTTTTGACATGTGTCCTTTGTTTTCACTATATACTTGTCACATGTCCTTTGTTTTCACTATATACTTGTCACGTGTCCTTTGTTTTTACTATATACTTGTCACATGTCCTTTGTTTTTACTAAATACTTGTCACATGTCCTTTGTTTTCACTATATACTTGTCACGTGTTTTCACTATATACTTGTCACATGTCCTTTGTTTTCACTATATACTTGTCACATGTCCTTTGTTTTCACTATATACTTGTCACGTGTCCTTTGTTTTCACTATATACTTGTCACATGTCCTTTGTTTTCACTATATACTTGTCACATGTCCTTTGTTTTCACTATATACTTGTCACATGTCCTTTGTTTTCACTATATACTTGTCACATGTCCTTTGTTTTCACTATATACTTGTCACATGTCCTTTGTTTTCACTATATACTTGTCACATGTCCTTTGTTTTCACTATATACTTGTCACATGTCCTTTGTTTTCACTATATACTTGTCACATGTCCTTTGTTTTCACTATATACTTGTCACATGTCCTTTGTTTTCACTATATACTTGTCACATGTCCTTTGTTTTCACTATATACTTGTCACATGTCCTTTGTTTTCACTATATACTTGTCACATGTCCTTTGTTTTCACTATATACTTGTCACATGTCCTTTGTTTTCACTATATACTTGTCACATGTCCTTTGTTTTCACTATATACTTGTCACATGTCCTTTGTTTTCACTATATACTTGTCACATGTCCTTTGTTTTCACTATATACTTGTCACATGTCCTTTGTTTTCACTATATACTTGTCACATGTCCTTTGTTTTCACTATATACTTGTCACATGTCCTTTGTTTTCACTATATACTTGTCACATGTCCTTTGTTTTCACTATATACTTGTCACATGTCCTTTGTTTTCACTATATACTTGTCACATGTCCTTTGTTTTCACTATATACTTGTCACATGTCCTTTGTTTTCACTATATACTTGTCACATGTCCTTTGTTTTCACTATATACTTGTCACATGTCCTTTGTTTTCACTATATACTTGTCACATGTCCTTTGTTTTCACTATATACTTGTCACATGTCCTTTGTTTTCACTATATACTTGTCACATGTCCTTTGTTTTCACTATATACTTGTCACATGTCCTTTGTTTTCACTATATACTTGTCACATGTCCTTTGTTTTCACTATATACTTGTCACATGTCCTTTGTTTTCACTATATACTTGTCACATGTCCTTTGTTTTCACTATATACTTGTCACATGTCCTTTGTTTTCACTATATACTTGTCACATGTCCTTTGTTTTCACTATATACTTGTCACATGTCCTTTGTTTTCACTATATACTTGTCACATGTCCTTTGTTTTCACTATATACTTGTCACATGTCCTTTGTTTTCACTATATACTTGTCACATGTCCTTTGTTTTCACTATATACTTGTCACATGTCCTTTGTTTTCACTATATACTTGTCGCATGTCCTTTATTTTCACTATATACTTGTCGCGTGTCCTTTGTTTTCACTATATACTTGTCGCGTGTCCTTTGTTTTCACTATATACTTGTCACATGTCCTTTGTTTTCACTATATACTTGTCACATATCCTTTGTTTTCACTATATACTTGTCACATGTCCTTTGTTTTCACTATATACTTGTCACGTGTCCTTTAATTGTTTTCACTATATACTTGTCGCGCATCCTTTGATTTCACTATAGGGACCGCAGAACCAAATGATTTTCCATAGACGATAGTGTTAACATTTACCACTGTCCTGGTTAAAAGGGGTTATCCACACTGGTTTACTTGCCCTCATTTAGAAGAATGTCATCTTACACACCTGTAAAAAAAAATAAGTTTAAAAGTTCTACCTATTTGAACCTTTTTTATATGGGAGCCGCCATTTTGTACTAAATTTGGCACCAAAAAATTACCAAAACTACACATTTAAAATTACACACTTAATAAACTCCCCCAGGCAAAAATAGACTTGAATTTTTTTTCATTTTTTTTTTTATACATTTCACATATATATATATATATTGCTCAACCCACACTTAAAACTTTTGAAACTTTTGCCACCTAAATATCCAACCAGCAGGCCCCGAGGCATTCACCTCCATACCAAATCTTCTGCCCAAAAGGGAAAAACCCACAATCTATTTTTGATTTGGTTCTGTGGTCCCTATATACTTGTCATGTGTCCTTTGTTTTCACTATATAGTTATCACGTGTCCTTTGTTTTCACTATATACTTGTCATGTGTCCTTTGTTTTCACTATATATTTGTCGTGTTTCACTATGTCGCGCATCCTTTGTTTTCACTATATACTTGTCGCGCATCCTTTGTTTTCACTATATACTTGTCGCGCATCCTTTGTTTTCACTATATACTTGTCCATCCTTGAATCTATCAAACTGATAATCTTGTCTACAATACTGGTAGAAAACTGCCACTAGTCATCGGTACTAACAATGTTCTCATCAACATAGAAAATTGCTTTATTCATATGTAACGGAACTGGACTGGGTCTATCATCTGTGACCAGGTAGCTCAATTGGTAGAGCAACCGTCTAGAGTTCGGAGGGTCTTGGGTTTGATGCCTGGTCTGGCCGTTACATGATGAGCTGACTGCTGTGAGCTCGGTGAGTCACGTCGATCCTTCCTGAAGTTGATGTACAGCCAGGCATATCAACAATCGTTGTAGTCTACACTTTTGTCAAGATCCTGTTCTGTATAATCGCAGGTCTGATCGCAGGTAACACTTGATGTTGCAGGAATATTTAACAGCTGTGATAACTTACAGCATTCTCAACAGTACCACCAAATTAACTACGGCTGGTCTTGATAATGAAATTAGACCATCGCCCAATAACTACATGTACCATTTACTTATTAAGTTGAAACATCACCAAATTTACTTGCCATTGTTCTCATCAAGATAGAATATACTCAAACTTTCTACCGTTATTCTTTTCAAGACAGAATAACACCAAACTTACTACATCGTGCTGATGTTCATCAAGAAACCATCAACTTACTACTGTATCATTGTTCACATCTAAATTTAACACCACTAAACTTACTAATGCTGTACTCATCTAGAGAAAATGTTGCCCAAAAGTAGATTTGAGATTTACCTAGATGATTGCCTTAAGATAAGAAAATACCAACAAAAAGAAACAACAAGTAAGAGTATTTTTCTTTATTATTAGTTTGTATCATTACTTAAGCATACATTTCTAAATATTTCTATAAAATTACATAACAATATCAGGCATAAATGTAGAAAAATATTGGCATGTACATTTAAATATAAAAAACGTACGTTGAAGATCGTGTGGATGGAAAAGACCCTATCTATCATGGAATACAAAATATTGGTATAACTCCTACCGAATAATACTGGGGATCAATAACATATATACAGTCTAAACGTATGTTGTCTATGTGCTGTCTTCCTAAATATTCTTCAGTGACAGGACTGAATAAATTGAAAATTTTATTTGCTTTAATGGTAGATTTCAAAAAGCTTAATTACCGGTAGCATAGACAAAAATGTAAAATGGGACAAAAATGCCATTTTAGTACTGGTCTACTACCAAGCCAGTATTTTATTTTACTTGGTGGCAAATTCCTAGGAAAATATTTTTGAGAGGCACTGATCAATGTTTTTAGAAAAATATTTTTAACATTACATGGTTGAAAAATATTCACAAGACAAATGTTACAGTTAGAATTTCACTTTCTAAGTAATCACAAATTAAGTACTTATGCATCTTTATAATGGTAAGTAAACCACTACCACAATTAATATAACTGAAAAACATCCTTCCACCAAATTAGAAGTTAAACATGAAACCGGGTTCATACATTTTTTGACTATAAAACAACAAAGTACAGTTTTAATTTCTTATTGTGAAGCCCGTAAAAACCTTGCTTCCTATTATCATTAGTTTTATAAGGAACTCTGGTATTTATATATTTTGAATTAAAAATTGATTGAAATTAATATCAGCTCTAAACTTATTTTCCATTCCCCCCAGAAACTACATAAATTATATATAATAACCTTGCCTGATTATTGTTTAAGTACTCTTTAAACTTAACTAACTAAACTTAAAAAGATTTGGTCAAAGTCAATAAGAAAAAAATATGTGTCCTTTTTGGTTGATTAAGATTAGTGCCATAGTGTTATTTTGTTAGCTATGCACCAGTTATTTCCCCTTGTTTCACAATACCATGCCACACCTACACATATTATAGCACCAAACTGGGGGGTTTTCTGCAACATTATTTTAAAGATATTAGCAATTCTTAAAAAATGTAAATCAATTTCAACTGCAAAAAATGACAGAAATACAGTAGCAGAAAGTATCTTGACTGGGAGTGATGCTGCCCCTTTAACCCTGTAATCATCCTCCAGGATACATGGTTGACTGGGAGTGATGCTGCCCCCATAACCCTGTAATCATCCTCCAGTATACCTGTTTGACTGGGAGTGATGCTGCCCCTACAACCCTGTAATCCTCCTCCAGGATACATGGTTGACTGGGAGTGATGCTGCCCCCATATCCCTGTAATCATCCTCCAGTATACCTGGTTGACTGGGAGTGATGCTGCCCCTACAACCCTGTAATCCGCCTCCAGGATACATGGTTGACTGGGAGTGATGCTGCCCCCATAACCCTGTAATCATCCTCCAGTATACCTGTTTGACTGGGAGTGATGCTGCCCCTACAACCCTGTAATCATCCTCCAGTATAAATGGTTGACTGGGAGTGATGCTGCCCCTACAACCCTGTAATCCTCCTCCAGGATACATGGTTGACTGGGAGTGAGGCTGCCCCTACAACCCTGTAATCATCCTCCAGTATAAATGGTTGACTGGGAGTGATGCTGCCCCCATAAAACTGTAATCATCCACCAGTATACATGGTTGACTGGGAGTGATGCTGCCCCAATAACCCTGTAATCCTCCTCCAGTATACATGGTTGACTGGGAGTGATGCTGCCCCCATAACCCTGTAATCATCCTCCAGAATACAGGGTTGACTGGGAGTGATGCTGCCCCTTTAACCCTGTAATCATCCTCCAGTATACATGTTTGACTGGGAGTGATGCTGCCCCTTTAACCCTGTAATCATCCTCCAGTATACATGGTTCACTGGGAGTGATGCTGCCCCTTTAACCCTGTAATCATCCTCCAGGATACATGGTTGACTGGGAGAGATGCTGCCCCTACAACCCTGTAATCATCCTCCAGTATAAATGGTTGACTGGGAGTGATGCTGCCCCCATAAAACTGTAATCATCCACCAGTATACATGGTTGACTGGGAGTGATGCTGCCCCTTTAACCCTGTAATCATCCTCCAGTATACCTGGTTGACTGGGAGTGATGCTGCCCCTACAACCCTGTAATCCGCCTCCAGGATACATGGTTGACTGGGAGTGATGCTGCCCCCATAACCCTGTAATCATCCTCAAGTATACATGGTTGACTGGGAGTGATGCTGCCCCCATAACCCTGTAATCATCCTCCAGTATACCTGTTTGACTGGGAGTGATGCTGCCCCTACAACCCTGTAATCCTCCTCCAGGATACATGGTTGACTGGGAGTGAGGCTGCCCCTACAACCCTGTAATCATCCTCCAGTATAAATGGTTGACTGGGAGTGATGCTGCCCCCATAACCCTGTAATCATCCTCCAGTATACCTGTTTGACTGGGAGTGATGCTGCCCCTACAACCCTGTAATCCTCCTCCAGGATACATGGTTGACTGGGAGTGAGGCTGCCCCTACAACCCTGTAATCATCCTCCAGTATAAATGGTTGACTGGGAGTGATGCTGCCCCCATAACCCTGTAATCATCCTCAAGTATACATGGTTGACTGGGAGTGATGCTGCCCCCATATCCCTGTAATCATCCTCCAGTATACCTGGTTGACTGGGAGTGATGCTGCCCCTACAACCCTGTAATCATCCCCCAGTATACATGGTTGACTGGGAGTGATGCCGCCCCTACAACCCTGTAATCCTCCTCCAGGATACATGGTTGACTGGGAGTGAGGCTGCCCCTACAACCCTGTAATCATCCTCCAGTATAAATGGTTGACTGGGAGTGATGCTGCCCCCATAACCCTGTAATCATCCTCAAGTATACATGGTTGACTGGGAGTGATGCTGCCCCTATAACCCTGTTATCTTCTCGTTATGTCTGATTATAAACAATTTGAAGTTTGAATGATGTCCTGAGAATATGACCATTATTCCAAAGAAAATATCAATGTCATTTCTGCACAGTACAATGTGTCGCATATTCTATGACTATGAAATTAAAATACATGGATACAGATCACCAGTTGAACCTGTCTGGTTTTTCTATACTCTGGTTGTCACACTATCTGGTCAGCTAATGCAGGAAGCATATTTCACAAATGTTAAGTTCACCAGTCAATCAACTGGTCTTATGTTCATCCTTGACTGGCTACTTTTGGGATTTAACACGTTTTTCTATTTAAACTGATTCAATAATGGATTGGCATGACCTATCTCCTATCTACTGTCTACTTTTATATACTGACTGAAGTAGATTGACAAGTGTGTAGTTTAATTATATGTTGTAAAGCTTGTGAAATCCTTTAAGTCATCAGAAATTCTCTGTACATTTACCAATGAAATATTAGAAAGTCTACTTCCTGCAGTACACTTATTACTAACAGATGGAAAACTGTAATAATAAAGTGATGATTATGAACAAATCTTACCAAACTTGTTCTACTCAACTTAAAATGGAATAAATGTTATTTTTTATTGATGTTTTCAAAAACGTTACACTCACACATGTTGCATACAAATATCCTGTATTTTTAAAATGCATTTCCTCCCTCCAAACCAAATCTTTCGGGTTTGTTTTTTAATATTTTGCAATCTTCCCAAAACAATTCAATAAAAAGTGATAAAGATATCTCAAAGAATTCAAATGAACTTAAGATTCAATGATATTTAACTTCAATATTGAAGTTCATTTCAGTAAAAAATCACAATTTCAAAAGAAATTCAACGAAGATAGCTTTCACAAATATGTTAAATAATATTCTTATTGGTAATTAAAAGTACAAATTGTATAAACCATATAAATATACACATTTTAAAGAATTCTGGACGGATCTTGGACAAAGCTGTTCACATTAGTGGACTAGAGCTATGCTAATCTAGAGTGCACAGCTATTATTTATCATATGGCACTATTCTAACTTACTTCTACATACAACATTTACATTTTACAATACAAAATATACCATAAATATAAATACAATTCTAGCCCTAATGATATGTATTATTTAAAATCACTCTGAGCTACACTACATGTAACATACATAATGAAGTTCTTATCTAGATCACGATTTTTGTTCAACACCATTAAAACTTCCGTTGAATTATGTTTAACAGTTACACACTTATTAAAGTTTTTAAATCTATTTTCTCCCGAGAAATTTGGTCAAATTTGGTAGGTGTATAAAAGTATGTGGGCTGGGGAGTTGTAGAGAGGTTGGATAATGACTATAACACAACTGTTTATGTTTTTACATGCCTCCCAAAACCCCAAAAGGTTATGAATGACACCTGGATTGCTGATGTGGGGCCCTAATGATTATTCATAACTTATATGTTATGTTGAACATATACAAATTCATGCAAAAGCACTAAAAAACATAACATGAGCTAGCATGTGTCAATGTTGAACCGGGGGTACACTAAAGTGGAAGTCTGTCACTTACACTTCTAACCCCAGGTGGATTACAAGTTAAAAAGAAATATCACAATCCACGTTTCACATAAACGTATATAGAAATATGTATAACACCACCTGAGAACGTCTGAAGAGCTGGGAAGACTACATATTAGAGACTTCCTCAAAACAAACTGGAATAAAGTTTTCATGTGAAATAGGTACGTGGCATGTCTCTTGAAAAAAAAGGCAACAACAAAAAGTGGCACAGGATCAAAATGACAAATATCCATGAAGTAAACAAATTAAAAAATCCTGACATTATTAAAATACTGGTTATCTACCAGGACATATATCTATATACTGAATAAAACAAAACTATGGAATCATACATCTTAGCTAGCTTCTTCTGACTCTCCTCGAGTAAGAGCGAGAACAAAAATCATTTACAAAATACATACAAGTACTTGTTAGTTATTAACTCCCATATAAAATACACTGTCTGTGTAATTATGTTCGAATCAAACTATTTGGATGTATTTCTTTGGTAATTGTTTACACAGCATTTAAGGCTGATATTCCTCCTTAACACTACACAACCCTCCAGTATAACAAATGAATAACTTACAATGTATATTGTACATGACAATGTGCAAAATAGGCACATGTCTACAATTATCTTTACTCTTGTGGTTTTATGTCATGGGCTTAAAATAAATAATAAACGTTACTTATTTATTTGCAGACAGACACCCGTCTGACACATGGAAAAGCTGGACTTGTGATACATGGTAAAGCTGGACTTGTGACACATGGTAAAGCTGGACTTGTGACACATGGTAAAGCTAGACTTGTGTCACATGGTAAAGCTGGACTTGTGACACATGGTAAAGCTAGACTTGTGACACATGGTAAAGCTGGACTTGTGACGCATGGTAAAGCTGGATGTATGGCACATGGTAAAGCTGGACTTGTGACACATGGTAAAGCTAGACTTGTGACACATGGTAAAGCTAGACTTGTGACACATGGTAAAGCTAGACTTGTGACCAGAGAAAACACAGTTTTATCCTTAACTGTTCATACCTGTACTTAACTATGTATCTCAATATCAATTTATCATAGTCATGTTGCTTTGAACTTCAGTATGCTTTAAGAAAGTCATGGTTTCTAAGTAACCTTGGTGACATATAGTTGTCATGGTGATATCAGTTTGGAGGGTGAAGATATTTCAGGACATCCACTGTTTTTGGTTGCTGCATATATATATCTAAGCAACAGAGTCGTCATGGTGATGTCGGTGTCGCCTTCCTGAGGCTGGAACATACTCTCCAAGATCCTCCCCAGTGGGACCCTTCACTCGAAATGACAGCTGACTGCAAAAATGATATAATGTAAGTATCAAAACTCCTACTTATAGTCGACTTCAGGGTAAGAAACTTACGTTCACTATTAAAGCAGTTACTGTTTTAACTAGATACTGTTAGTTGATCATTTTCTACAATCATGATAGTTTTTTATTTAATATTTTCAGCATTGAAATGAAATGGGATTTTGATTTAAATTTTAAAAATGTGTGCTCTGATATTTTATTATTCATATACTGAAACAGAAAGTCAGTAACAGCTGCAGCTGAAAAGGTTTACCAAAAGCAGGGGCACAATTTATCAGAAAATGTCGCTGGTTGACTAAATCAAGCCAGAGGTATACGACAAACGAAAAAATATGTACTGCAAATGTCAAAAAGGAAAATTTATATCATTTTTTGTTTGCAAACAAATGGCAAAATTTATTATCATAATAGCATTATGTTAACCAACAACACCCTTGTCTCCTCTATAATAATGTACATTTAGTAAACAATCAGTACTTAGAAACATAAACAATATTATAACACTTAATTAAACCACTCAGGTTAAAGATTATACACAAAATATCAGACCAAAATGCATCCTATAAAAACAAGAGATCCCAGAAGGATCTTGCAGGCGCCCACCATTGTACCATTTTCATTAGTTCTTTGTCAGTTCTATCTTTTCTCATCTTTCCTCTAATCTGTTTGATTGAGTCATGTTAACAGTAAATGAACCTTGAGGTAACTTTTGATCTAAACTTAATACTGATGTGTATGAAAGCCAACCTTCAAAGTGAGTTTGTCATTTCACATATTTACTAGTACAGTGTACTTAATGTGAAAGAAATATAATCGATCATTGCAATATGAGAAAGATCTGTTTAGTTCTTCCTTTAGCCATTTGGTTTTTATGATCAGTCTCAAAATATAACATGCACAACGAGGGATCAAGGGGAACCTACAAATCAAATTTGAGAAAGATCCCTCAAGTTATTACTGAGAAATAGTACTAACAAACCTTCAATGTCAAAAATCAAAGATGGCTGTCAGTAGGCCATTTTGTTTAACTGATCAGTTTCAAAAGTAAACATGAACAATAAAGGATAGTGGGGAACCTGCATTTTTTTGGGGGAGAGTAAAAAATTGGAAGCACTTGCCCAAATGACATATTGGTGCCCAAATAATTTTGTGAAGAAATATTTCCACAGCATTTAACACAATGCTTCAGCACATTTAAATTACATATAACATGATAATGTTTGTAATATGTAAAACAGAATAAAATATCATATTTTTAATTCTTCAACCCTAGTTAAAACCTGACATGATCCACTCCATTCAGGTCTTCCCAAAAAGAAATACACAAAACTCGCACCTCAAAGAAGACACCCTGGCAGTATTTATATAGAAAATCTGAAAAAAAATCATCACATTTTCTAATCATGGACAGTTTGATTCAAATCGAAGTAATGACAACTGAAAAATGTACTGCCCCCCAGTAAATGTGGAAGGGACTATAATTTCTTTTATTCATTAATTTTTTTGACAGTCACCCAAACTATTTTTGTTGGGCCAGTGGCTGACCTCACTTTTGGCAACTTTTGGTCACTCGAGCAACCTTTTACCGCCATTGGCGAGCAGGTGACCGTCCATTTCAGGCACTGCTGCACAACAAGGGATCATGGGGAACCTACATATAAAATTTGAGAAAGATCCCTCTGATACCTCCCAAGAAATAGCGATAACAAACTTTCACTATCAAAATCCAAGATGGCTGCCTGTCGGCCATGTTGTTTATCCGTTCAATCTCAAAAGTTGCCCTGCACAGCTTAGGACCAAGGGGAACCTACATATAAACTTTGAGAAAGATCCCATTTGTACTTCTTAAAGAATACCGATAACAAGAATTGTTTAAGGACAGACGACGGACAGCAGACGACGGACGGACAGACGACGGACGGACAGACCCAGACCACGGACGCAGGGTGATTTGAATAGCCCATCATCAGATGATGGTGGGCTAAAAAGTAAAAAGAGTGAAAAATATAAAGTAAGCAGGAAAATACATTAGATAAGCAAAAACCCTAGAGGCTAATAGTCACTGACAAATTGAGTCTGACTCAAACTGGGTTATCAGACCCCTTATATCAATGACAAATTGAGTCTGACTCAAACTGGGTTATCCGATCCCTAATATCAATGACAAATTGAGTCTGACTCAAACTAGGTTATCCGATCCCTAATATCACTGACAAATTGAGTCTGACTCAAACTGAGTTATCAGGCCCCTTATATCACTGACACATTGAATCTACCTAAATCTCAGTTATCAGGCCCCTAATATCACTGACAAATTAAGTCTTACTCAAACTGAGTTACCAGGCCCATAATATTACTGACATATTGAGTCTGACTCAAACTGAGTTGTCAGGCCCCTACTATTACTGGCATATAAAGTCTGACTAAAACTGAGTCATCAGGCCCCTACTATCACTGATATATTGAGTCTGACTCAAACTGGGTTATCGGGCCCCTAATATTACTGGCATATAAAGTCTGACTAAAACTGAGTTATCAGCCCCCTACTATCACTGACATATTGAGTCTGACTAAAACTGAGTTATCAGGCCCCCACTATCACTGACATATTGAGTCTGACTAAAACTGAGTTATCAGGCCCCTAATATCACTGACATATTGAGTCTGACTCAAATTGGGTTATCGGGCCCCTAATATTACTAACATTTTGAGTGACTCAAACTGGGTTATCAGACACCTAATATCACTGAGATATTGAGTAAACCTCAAACTGAGTTATCAAGTCCCTCAAATCATTATCATATTGAGTCTGACTTAATGTGAAATAGGGCTTATCTTTTATGATTGCTTAGAGAAGTATAAAGCATTAACACAGCTTGTGAAATACTGAAATGAATAATTTAAAAACATTTTACTAGCAAGTGGAATAGATTGCGAATATAAATTCAAAAAATCAGGTTGATGAAGAGTCTTTGCAGACTGAATTATGGAGGCAAACTGTAATTCAAAGTAAATCAAGACAGTTAAAATCAAACAATGAAAGCAAATTTTAGTGGACAAAGAAAGCTCAGGACCACATATCTTACAGGTAGTAAGTAAATGAGCTAATGATGTATGGCTCCCTTTGCTCGCATCATTGCTATTATTTCTTCAGGGGCACGTTCCCTGAAACAAATTGTGCAAAAGAATAGTGCATCATCATCTACAACAGTCATTGACAACTGTCACTATAACAACAGTGCAATTCACCTGCTTAAACAATCACCATAGCAACTGATCACTACTGTATCATTTACTAAGTCACTATAGCAACTGATCATGAGTGAGTGCATTGTCATCTACTATACATGTCACCATAGCAACAGTACATTATCATCTACAGTAGATTTCACCATATAAACAGTGTATTATCATATACTATATGTCACTATAGCAACAGTACATTATCATCTACAGTAGATGTCACCATAGAAACAGTGTATAATCATGTACTATATGTCACTATGGTAACAGTATATTATCATCTTCTATATATGTCACTATAGTAAAAGTGTATTGTCATGTACTATATGTCACCAAAGTTATAGAGCATACATTATCATATACTATACATCACCATAGTAACAGTACATTACCATCTACTATAGATGTCACCATAGAAACAGTGTATAATCATGTACTATATGTCACTATGGTAACAGTATATTATCATCTTCTATATATGTCACTATAGTAAAAGTGTATTGTCATGTACTATATGTCACCAAAGTTATAGAGCATACTTTATCATATACTATACATCACCATAGTAACAGAACATTACCATCTACTATAGATGTCAGCATAGTAACAGTCTAAAGCATATACTATATGTCACCATAGTAACAGTACATTATCATTTACTATAGACGTCACCATCGTAACATTGCATTCACCATCTTATACAACAATCATCATAGCAACACAACATGATCACCTACTTTAACAGTCACCATAGTAACAGTGCATTATCATCTACTACAACAATCACCATAGCAACAGAACATGATCACCTACTTTAACAGTCACCATAGTAACAGTTAATGACCATCTACTACAACAATCACCATGGTAACAGTACATTATCATCTACTTTATATGTCACCATAGTAACAGTACATTATCATCTACTATAGATGTACATGTCACCATAGTAACAGTACATTACCATCTATTATATATGTCACCATAGTAACAGTACAGTATCATCTACTATAGATGTCACCATAGTAACAGTACATTAGCATATACTATATATCACCATAGTAACAATACATTATCATCTACTATATGTCACCATAGAAACAGTGTATTATCATCTTCTATATATGTAACCATAGGAAAAGTGCATTCACCATCTACTACAACAATCACCATAGCAACACAACATGATCACCTACTTTATCAGTTACCATAGTAACAGTGCATTATCATCTACTACCTCAATCACCATACAGCAACATAACATGATAATCTACTTCAACAGTCACCATAGTGCTATTGATATAATATTTTATTTTAATTGACATTCTTGTTATTTAGTAATGATTCCTACCCTGGAAGTTTTTGATGGGCTGGTGCTGCATCATAAGGAGGAGGAGTCAGTGGTGCAACACGCCTCCTTGATCTCACACCCTGGTCCTCTAGTTCATATTCATCACAGTCAATGATCAACTGGTCTTCACCTGGTGGAAAGGAAGAAAGTTCATGTTCATAAGGATTAAATGGATGGTCTTCATCTGCTGGAATTGTACAATAATTACTGTTTACAAGGATTAACTTGCCTTCACCTGGTGGAAATGTACGATAAAATAATGAGGCATATCCCTACTTTAGTACTAACCATATTGCTTTCTCCTTTTATCATTTTTCTTTTTCTTCTTTTTCATCTTTCTTACATGGTTGTCATCATCATCATCATACTCTATACCATGATCAGCAGTGTGCTTGCTCCTGACCTCACTCATAGGTGGGGTCAAGGGGTCAGGACCTCCCCGGAACGGAGGGTATTCTGGATCCTCCACTGGAGTCTGATCATTAAGGGTATGATGTGTTGGCACAGAATTTTCTGGTTCAGGCTTGCTCTTTTTTTTTTTCGGTTCCTCCTCTCTGCATTTTTTCAAAAAATAAAAATAGTTTAAGATTGCCTTCTTCAAACTAGCGTTGATATTCAGCCTGCATCAGTCATATCTTATTCATCATTGAATTTAATTACATTGATGGAATTTTCTTTCCAGTTTTCTTTTTTTGTAAGTTTTACTTTCAATAATGCTTATTGATGACTCATGATCAATCTCCTGTCACACTGATTTTGAAGGTCTGAGATATAGCCGTTTCAGCATCCATTAATGTAGTCTAATGAAGAATTTTATATACCTGTGTGCTGTAGGTTCTGCTGTTCCACCGTCTCCTAAACCACTGCCACCTAAACCACCTCCACCTCCATGACTCTGACGACGTCGGTAGTCTTCCTCGCTAAGAAAGTAAAAACAACATTGTTGCTAAAGTTTGAGAACTCTAAAAGTTTCATTTTATTTTCTATCCCGTCTAAACAACCACACCATTACCTCTAACATATAACTAACCTTTATTCAACTGTATATCTCATAGGTTAATTATTTACAAGGATGGACAGTGAATATAACAGAACTATATAGATTGGTAAAGTACTCTTTTTTATGGAGCACAGAACTGAACCGGAAAACAATTAAGAATACTGAAGTTAAAATATTGACTTATCATCCAAATGACAATATCTATAAATTTATATTAAAATTTGTACTTTATTATATTTATCTTAATGATTATAAATATTACAGATATAATTAGATTAAATTAGATCATAACTATAACTTAAATATTTTAAATCACAATATACCTGGTATAATGCCAATATGATAATAAATATTGCTATAACCATGAAAGTTTAATGATTATTAGCTCAATTTCTGCAGTCTCTACAAATACATTAGTTGTTAATTCTATTCAAGCTTTTCAAACAATTATGGTAGATAAATCCAACAGAGATGTACCAATACTTCCCAATCAAACACCAAAAACATCTGAGAATTCTGTTAAATATGTTACATTATTATGTTGTATTAAATGCTGTCAACACTCCAAAATGTATACCTGTAAACCTCCAGGCCGATGAGTTCAGTCAACTCTGCGCTGTTACATAGACATTATAAAATATCACTGCATCTTATTTATGTATTTTTTTTAAATATTTAAGATACATTTGTTCACATCGATGAAAAACATCTCAATATCTTCTTATTTAACCATATGCTTTATATAAGTGCCTGTATATAAACTCTTATGAATACTTTTTCCTTATACGTATATAATTACAAGATAATCAAGTATTGACAGTTAAATGTACAGAACAGAAATCATTTGGAGAGGGGAAGGAAGTTACGATTTAGATACCTTTTAATTTAGTAAAGAATGGCCACAATATCTTTCCCATATGTTTGAATAACATATTTTGACCAATCATTTTTCAAAGCCAGAACAATCCTGACATTCAAATAGAAATAGATTGGTATCAATTCTCAATAGATCCACCTGTTTGAATGTATACTGAACTTAAGTTAAAGTTGACATTCATCAACAATTCAGTACTGACCTTACACTTCAGCCCTGACCTTACACTTCAGCCCTGATCTTACACTTCAGTACTGACCTTACACTTCAGTACTGACCTTACACTTCAGCCCTGACCTTACACTTCAGCCCTGACCTTACACTTTAGTACTGACCTTACACTTCAGCCCTGACCTTACACTTCAGTACTGACCTTACACTTCAGCCCTGATCTTACACTTCAGTACTGACCTTACACTTCAGTACTGACCTTACACTTCAGCCCTGACCTTACACTTCAGCCATGATCTTACACTTCAGTACTGGCCTTACACTTCAGTACTGACCTTACACTTCAGCCCTGACCTTACACTTCAGCACTGATCTTACACTTCAGTACTAGCCTTACACTACAGCCCTGACCTTACACTTCAGTACTGACCTTACAAGTCAGCCCTGATCTTACACTTCAGTACTGACCTTACACTTCAGCCCTGATCTTACACTTCAGCCCTGACCTTACACTTCAGTACTGACCTTACACTTCAGTACTGACCTTCCACTTCAGCCCTGACCTTACACTTCAGCCATGACCTTACACTTCAGACCTGATCTTACTCTTCAGTCCTGACCTTACACTCCAGCCCTGCCCTTACACTTCAGCCCTGACCTTACACTTCAGCCTTGACCTTACACTTCAGCCCTGACCTTACTCTTCAGTACTGATCTTACTCTTCAGTACTGATCTTACTCTTCAGTCCTGACCTTACACTTCAGTACTGACCTTACACTTCAGTACTGACCTTCCACTTCAGCCCTGACCTTACACTTCAGCCATGACCTTACACTTCAGACCTGATCTTACTCTTCAGTACTGACCGTACACTTCAGCCCTGACCTTACACTTCAGCCCTGATCTTACACTTCAGTACTCGCCTTACACTACAGCCCTGACCTTATACTTCAGTAATGAACTTACACTTCAGCCCTGATCTTACACTTCAGTACTCGCCTTACACTACAGCCCTGACCTTATACTTCAGTAATGAACTTACACTTCAGCCCTGATCTTACACTTAAGTACTGACCTTACACTTCAGCCCTGACCTTACTCTTCAGCCCTGACCTTACACTTCAGCCATGATCTTACACTTCAGTACTGGCCTTACACTACAGCCCTGACCTTATACTTCTGCAATGAACTTACACTTCAGCCCTGACCTTACACTTCAGTACTGATCTTACACTTCAGCCCTGACCTTACACTTCAGCCTTGACCTTACACTTCAGCCCTGACCTTACTCTTCAGCCCTGACCTTACACTTCAGCCATGATCTTACACTTCAGTACTGGCCTTACACTACAGCCCTGACCTTATACTTCAGCAATGAACTTACACTTCAGCCCTGACCTTACACTTCAGTACTGACCTTACACTTCAGTACTGATCTTACACTTCAGCCCTGACCTTACTCTTCAGTACTGACCTTACTCTTAAGTACTGACCTTACACTTCAGACCTGACCTTACACTTCAGCCCTGACATTACACTTCAGCCCTGACCTTACACTTCAGCCCTGCCCTTACACTTCAGACCTGATCTTACTCTTCAGTTCTGACCTTCCCCTTCAGCCCTGACCTTACACTTCAGACCTGACCTTACACTTCAGCCCTGACTTTACACTTCAGCCTTGACCTTACACTTCAGACCTGATCTTACACTTCAGCACTGACCTTACTCTTCAGTACTGACCTTACTCTTAAGTACTGACCTTACACTTCAGACCTGACCTTACACTTCAGCCCTGACTTTACACTTCAGCCTTGACCTTACACTTCAGACCTGATCTTACTCTTCAGTTCTGACCTTCCCCTTCAGCCCTGACCTTACACTTCAGCCCTGACATTACACTTCAGCCCTGACCTTACACTTCAGCCCTGACATTACACTTCAGCCCTGACCTTACACTTCAGCCTTGACCTTACACTTCAGCCCTGATCTTACTCTTCAGCACTGATCTTACTCTTCAGTACTGACCTTACTCTTAAGTACTGACCTTTCTCTTCAGTACTGATCTTACACTTCAGTACTGACCTTACACTTCAGTACTGACCTTACTCTTCAGTACTGACCTTTCTCTTCAGTACTGATCTTACACTTCGGTACTGACCTTACACTTCAGTACTGATCTTACTCTTCAGCCCTGACCTTACTCTTCAGTACTGACCTTTCTCTTCAGTACTGATCTTACACTTCAGCCCTGGCCTTACTCTTCAGCCCTGACCTTACACTTCAGTACTGACCTTTCTCTTCAGTATTAATCTTACACTTCAGCCCTGACCTTACACTTCAGCCCTGACCTTACTCTTCAGTACTGACCTTTCTCTTCAGTACTACTCTTACTCTTCATTACTGACCTTCTCTTCAGTACTGATCTTATACTTCAGTACTGACCTTACACTTCAGTACTGATCTTACTCTTCAGTACTGATCTTACTCTTCAGTACTGACCTTACACTTCAGTACTGATCTTACTCTCCAGTACTGATCTTACACTTTAGTACTGATCTTACACTTCAGTACTGACCTTACACTTCAGTACTGACCTTACACTTCAGTACTGATCTTACTCTCCAGTACTGACCTTACACTTCAGTACTGACCTTACTCTTTACCCTTGACCTTACACTTCAGTACTGACCTTACTCTTCAGTACTGATCTTACTCTCCAGTACTGATCTTACACTTTAGTACTGATCTTACTCTCCAGTACTGACCTTACACTTCAGTAATGACCTTACACTTCAGTACTGACCTTACTCTTTAGCCTTGACCTTACACTTCAGTACTGATCTTACACTTCAGCCCTGACCTTACACTTCAGCCCTGACTTCACACTTCAGCCCTGACCTTACACTTCAGTACTGATCTTACACTTCAGCCCTGACCTTACACTTCAGTACTGACCTTACTCTTTAGCCTTGACCTTACACTTCAGTACTGAACTTACTCTTCAGCCTTGACCTTACACTTCAGTACTGACCTTACACTTCAGTACTGACCTTGCTCTTTAGCCTTGACCTTACACTTCAGACCTGACCTTACACATCAGCCTTGACCTTACACTGCAGTACTCACCTCCTGATAATGTTCTGAAGCAGCGTTTCCTGCAGTGTTTCCTTCTCCTGATCTTTATCTTCCTCCAGTATCTGTGCCAGCTTGTGTGTCCTCTGAAATTAGCAACACAGAATCCTAATTAACAGGCAGTCCTCACTGGCTAACTTTATTTATGATAAGATTCTGTTTGTTTGCTGGTTATCTTCTCTTGCCATATAATTCTTTAAGCTTATTGGTTATCTGCCCTTGTTATCTGCACTTTTTTTGTAGGACTTTGCATTTTTCTGTAAAAGTGTACTGAGAGATCTAAATATGGTTTCTGTCTTTATCAATTTTGCTGAACAATGACTTAAAACTATAAATTATGCTGATTTTAAATTATAATAATAATAACAGCTGATATTCTTCTTGTCACAAGTTAAAGATGATAAAACTTCATATTGCAAGTCCATTTATCATTGAGTTATGACAAACTTAAGTGGTATAAACATAATTAATAAAGAAATATTAAAAAATGTTAAAAACAATGTTAAAATATCAATGTTTTACAGAAAGTTTTAAATAGATTATGCGCTTTCAAATAATTTTTTTAAAATGTTAAATAATGTTTAATAAAATAGATTAAACCATAATAATTCACATAAAAATCCAAAATATAGCTAGCAGATGAGTATAGTTTAACATGATGAGAACTGTTGATGTAGTATATATTCAGAAATATTAAACTGGGATAAAGACATTTTCATATACATCATAACGTATGACACTGTAAACTTGTTACAAACATATAGTTTTTTCATTTACATGAAATGTTACATTTTCTTCGGTTTAGCCACGTGTATATATTGATAACAGTTTGACATCTGTATTATGCGATCTACAAAAACTCTGAAGTGTTTCTGTTAACAACAGGGGATGTACTTCATTTGACAGGATGTGATGATGGCAAAACGTATCAACATTGATGTCACTATGTTATTATTAAACCTAACAAAGTCAATGACACAGGACATATATCCTAGAAAAAAATCACATTTAGGAAGGATGACATTTAATTATGATACTACGAAATGTTTCAGCTAGGTGATGTAATTTTCAGAAGTAATGAGAAAAAAATGTACAGTATAATAAAGAATTAAAATGTTAAATGTTAGCTGAAACATGATAATGATACAGTACATTTTCCAGTATCTGGGCCAGCGTGTGTGTTTTCTGGATAAGCCAATGTGGAAATGTAAGTGAAGCAATATATTAACAAGGACCTAACACAAAACATTGGCATGTATGCCCTTGTCATATAATTATAGATATATTGAATTGTCTACCCTTGCTGTAAAATTAATTATGTTCATTCTAGGTTGTCTGCTCTTGTTTTATGATTATATGACACTGTATACTTTTTTCTGGTAGTCTGCCACAGCTATAACATTGTGTATTAAATTTCAGTAAGATATGTTTATACATTTCTGGTTATCTGAACCCTTGCTCTAAGATTACATAAATACATTCCTGGTTATCTCCCCTTGCTCTAAGCAAAATTGTTAATTAAAGCCTTTTCAAACAAATTAGTCATATTTCCATAAGAATGCACCACTTTGAGCAGGAATAGCACTGCAGTATAGAAATAGCAACCTTGGGTGAATATGTCATATACATGTAGTTAAATCTGTAAAAAAATACCTGTGCAATCAAAATTATTATCAGCCAAACCAACATATTTTACAAATAAAGATACAATGCCATGAAAAGAAAAATGGAAAGATAAAAACAAACAAATCCCTCAATAAAATGTTAGCAGCAACACATGTCCTAAACACAAAACATTCGACCTTGAAAACCACAAAAAGAAGTTTTGCATATTTTTGCACCAAAAATCAACCTTGAAATTCAAAATAAAATGTTAAAACCAATACATGTTCGATACAAATAAATTTCATTTTGAGAACTGCCATAGTTGTTTTTGTAGTATATGTACAATATAGACAGGGGATAGGATGTTCTAGTTAGAGTGAGGTTACACAGGCAAACTTTCTTGATGTAAAAAGATGGAAAGAACAAAAACGTTAAATTCAGGTAAAATATTTACCTCAGTTTGACCTGAAATTGACATGTCATTGACCTGAATAAATTTCCATGTGAAATCAACCTCAATTTAACCTGAAATTTCAGATCAAATTGACATCAAGAAATTTTGCCTGTGTATACTATAATTACAGATGGCTCTCTATCAGTGACATAGTGACAGTAGAATAAACACCACTGCAAGACTACACTAAAGATATGGCTGATGGGGCCAGTGAAAGGATTTAAATTCTGAGTCCAAAATTACCAAAGCTATAATCAAAAGGTCGAAAGTCTGTGTCACATAAACACAAACCTCTTTCTCCAGGTGTTCCTGACAAGAGGCATATCTCAGATACAGTTTTATCATGTCTAATGTAGTGAAAATATATTCAGTATTCATTATATTTGACTTATATGACTTTTTTCGTTAATCAAGGGGCGGTAACTCTGCCAAAAGTCTGATGAGAGTCCGGTTGTCAAACTTGGCTGAGCCCTTAATGCGCTGAACCCTGTTACTAAGTTTGAAGACAATCAGATAATATTTGCAAGATAAATGAACAGAAACGGCATATAATGGTGTTTTTCATTATTCAAGGGGCCAAAACTCCCCCAAATAAAGTCCGCTGAAAGTGGTCATCAAACTTGGCCGAGCCCTTAAGGCATTTAACCCTGTGACGAGGTTAAGGCATTTAACCCTGTGACGAGGTTAAGGCATTTAACCCTGTGACGAGGTTTGAAGAAAATCGGTTAACATTTCTTGTAGTTATTGCACGGAAGCAAAATGCAGCAGATAATGATGTTTTTCGTTATTCAAGGGGCCATTATATATTACTCTGCCAAATGCTGTTCGCTGAAAGTGGTCATTGAATCTGGCCGAGCCCATAAAGCCTTTAACCCTGTAATCAAGTTTGAAGAAAATCAGTTATCATTTGTTGTAGTTATGGCACAGAAACGAAGCATGGCAGATAATGATGTTTTTCATTATTCCTGGGGCCATTACTCCGCCAAATGGGGTCCGCTGACAGTGGTCATTGAATCTGGCCGAGCCCTTAAGACATTTTACCCTTTGACCAAGTTTGAAGAAAATCAGTTAACATTTCTTGTAGTTATTGCACAGAAACGAAACGCAGCAGATAATGATGTTTTTTCGTTATTCAAGAGACCATAATTAACTCCCACAAATGCTGTTCGCTGAAAGTGGTCATCGAATCTGGCTGAGCCCATAAAGCATTTAACCCTGTGACCAAGTTTGAAGAAAATCAGTTATCATTTGTTGTAGTTATGGCACAGAAACGAAGCATGGCAGATAATGATGATTTTCATTATTCAAGGGGCCATAACTCTGCCAAATGCTGTTCGCTGAAAGTGGTCATCGAATCTGGCCGAGCCCATAAAGCCTTTAACCCTGTGACCAACTTTGAAGTAAATCGGTTAACATTTCTTGTAGTAATTGCACAGAAACGAAACGCAGCAGATAATGACGTTTTTTCGCTATTCAAGGGGCCATAACTCTGCCAAATGGGATCTTATGAAAGTGTTTATCGATCTTGGCCGAGCCCTGAAGGTATTTAACCCTATGACCAAGTTTGAAGAAAATTGGTTGACATTTGTTGTAGTTATTGCACAGAAATGAAACGTGACAGACAGACAGACGGCAAACCCAAATTAATAACCCCCGTTTCGGTGAAAGCAGGGGATAAATAGAACCAAAGTTATAGCTGTATATGTGTCTTACACAGCCATTCAGAAGCAATATGGACTTATTATAATGGCCAGCTTGTTTATATATAGAGATACTGTGTCATCTAGTATTGCTATCCCCCATGAATAAAATATCCAAGTAATTCTGATTGCGGATACAGATACTACTTAACAAAGACCAAAAGGTCATAGTAATAGCTATCAAATACCATTTACTATAAAAAAAATAATTAAAAAAAATATTTTTAGAAACAGTGACCCTGACCTTGATTTGTTATTTCATATGATACAGACATACAATGTAGGCGCAAGTAAAGTAATTGCCTGCATCCATCATGTATTCTGTTAAATCCTATTAAAATCCTATTGAATTCAGGAAGTTTTTTGTTAAACCCCTATTTATATTCACATGTAAATACATCACATTTTGAAATTTCAGAAACTTAGTATTAGATTAATATTTAAGGGCATCCACATCTCCCAGGCAGGGATCGACATTAACAGTAAAAGTTGATAATCACATGAAAAGCCAGTCAATCTTACCCAGTGTTGATGCTGTGATTTGCAAAGAAAGAAAATGCATCACTAACTAAACACAAAACACAATACAAAACAATAAATAAGACCATTGGAAGCCTTAGTATACACATCTATGACATCTGTATATAATACCCCCTGTATCCAGAGACTTAGTATACACATCTATGACATCTGTATATTATACCCCCTGTATCCAGAGACTGGATGCTGATTTGTCAAGTCAGAGCCATTCAGAAAGGAGAGAAAATTTTGGCAAACAAGCTTTTTTGAAAAAATAAAATCAACTTGCTTAAATCTTAATGTTTAATTTGAATAGTATCTGGATGGAATCTTGGTTTTGAAAGTTAGCTAGCGAAACACTCTATTATGTGTTACATGAAACATTGATTGCGATTCTTTTTTAAAAGATTTTTGTAAGTATAAAGCATTGTAGCTCAAAAAAGAATCTAGCAATTCATTCTAATAGTTTGTTTGCCAAATTTGTACAAAAAGACAATGTACCCTAATCATCTCCCCTTTGGCTGGCTGTGATATTCATGGTCTTTGGATATGGAGTGTATATCTACGTGACACATACACAATGATAAATCATAACTAGTGGCATTCCAACATGCGTAAAGTAGCAAACACAATATGAATGTGAGATATTTCAGCATACACAGGCGATACAAGGTTGTATGGGGACTACTTTTTATTGAAATTATATAATAATGCTGGATGACTTATTCATTCCAAATCGATGCAGACAGGGACTCCATAATACTTTTATTTCATTAGCAATTATAATAATGCGAGACAATAAACTTTTTTTTTTTTTTTATGTGTACACCAATAATTCTGTGGTTATGATGTTTAAAATTTTCATGCATTTTTTTTTTTTAATTATTTTCTGTATTGAAACTAGATTACAAAAAAGTATTCAAATTCAATAAAATCAATTGCTTTTGTTGAAATATTCTTTGATTTGTTGAAAAGATATCAGTAAGCAATGTCAGTTATTGGGGTGAATGAGACAAGCAGTTATGGCATGTGCGAGGTACATCTATTTCACATGAACAAGCACAATATAACATAATACAGCTATGTACACGTAGCTTACTGTACATACATATGTCTATAACGAGCAGGAGTGACTCTGAGACATGTAAACTGATACATATGTACTAACCTTCCTCATCATCAGGGCCACATCATCAGGAATATCAGGAATGAAGTAGGCCAACAAAAATTTGATGGTGAAAACTATATGCTGAAAAAAACACCACAAGTATTTGTTTAATTAAGTAACCATACTACACCATGTTTAAATTAAGTTAAGGTTCGTGTACTGTAAATAACATGTGCTAATTATCCTTTCTGTCCCAATTTTCTCTAAATCAATAACAAATTTAAAGCCCCTCATTATATATATATATATACAGTATGTATTTTAATCCCCAACTTTTTATCATTATTTGCTCCATCTTTTTTGAAATTGTATCTTTATAAATGATTATTTCACAATGAATTTGGAATGTATCTCATTGGTAATGTCACGAGAAGTGTATATGTACCTTAATATCAATTTATTTCATATTGAATTTGGACAGTAATGAAAGTGGCTGAAAGCCAATGTAATGAGTTGTCTACCTTTATAAAAATAACTATTTCGCACTGAATATAGACTACCTCAAAGCCAATGTAATGAGTTGTCTCCCTTTATAAATAATGATTTCACACTGAATATAGACAGTACCTCAAAGCAAATGTAATGAGTTGTCTACCTTTATAAAAATAACTATTTCGCACTGAATATAGACTATCTCAAAGCCAATGTAATGAGTTATCTCCCTTTATAAATAATTATTTCACACTGAATATAGACAGTACCTCAAAGCCAATGTAATGAGTTGTCTCCCTTTATAAATAATAATTTCACACTGAATATAGACAGTACCTCAAAGCCAATGTAATGAGTTGTCTACCTTTATAAATAATGATTTCACACTGAATATAGACAGTACCTCAAAGCCAATGTAATGAGTTGTCTACCTTTATAAATAATGATTTCTCACTGAATATAGACAGTACCTCAAAGCCGATGACGATCCAGAGCTGTGTGACAATGTCGTACTGCTGTCCCCAGCTCGAGGTGAAGGCGATGATGAAACCATTGGATACCACCCCACACACGTTAACGATCTGGAGAATGGTGAACCAAGTACCTGAAACACACATCTCACATTATTATAAAGGCTGACAATGAAGGACGTATTTCCAGATTCTCTGGCACAACTTGAGATTACCATAATTTACTATATTCTGTGAGATATGTGATTTTGGCATAATTTCCAAAAGGGTTTCAGTTGCGAATTCAAATAATTCACAACCATATAATATAAACAAGATTACTAGAGGGAGGAACAGTATATGCCCGTCGAATGCCATATACTTTCTTACATAGAAATAAGATCTGCATCATTCTAAGAGTGGTTAGCCGACATGCTATAAAAAATGTAGGAGAAAATCTCCCGACAAAAAATCAAATACTGAAATGAACAAAGGGCAATAACTTAGGGAAAAATTGTCGAATCAAACTTCTTTTAAGGGGAAACACAACTTCATATCATGATTATAATGTATACCAAGTTTCAAAGAGATCGGTCGAAAAATGTAGGAGGAGATTGCCAGACAAACAAAAGTTTACGCCGGACGGACGACCCCATACCATAATACTTCTGTCAAATTTGACGAGCGTATAACAAAAATACTGCAGTATGCAAACTGTGTTCTCGACTGTGAAAAACATTGGAATGAAGTTAATGATGTACCATAATTTTCAGCAGAGTAAAGATTTTAATTAACACAATAAAAATGAATAGTCTGAAAATGTTGGCTATTTCCTTAGTAGATGTTGATATAAAACTTTATACTGATAGTATTTACCTTTCAGCATAATTATAACTCGAAAGGTATACTGACCGTTACACTTATATAATTAATACAAGTTGTAGGTGAAATATTACCTATGTCCTGGGCGACGGTGGCCGTCGGTCTGCGGTACCACCACAACATCCGTTTAGCGTCCACACGGATGTCTATCAGCAGGGTTAACAGAGCTATGAGTGGAGCAAGGGGCAGAGAGGCTGCAAACAGCTGTAGGTATATAAATATTACAATGTGATAGCTTTGGGAGCCAGGGACAGAGAGACTGCAAACAGCTATAGGTATATAAATATTACAATGTGATAGCTTTGGGAGCTAGGGACAGAGAGGTTGCAAGCAGCTATAGGTATATACATATTACAATGTGATAGCTTTGGGAGCCAGGGACAGAGAGGCTGCAAGCAGCTATAGGTATATACATATTACAATGTGATAGCTTTGGGAGCCAGGGACAGACAGGCTGCAAACAACTATAGGTATATAAATATTACAATGTGATGAGAGCTTTGGGAGCAAGGGACAGAGAGGCTGCAAACAGCTGTAGGTATATAATTATTACAATGTGAGAGGTTAGGGAGCCAGGGACAGAGAGGCTGCAAACAGCTGTAAGTATATAAATATTACAATGTGATAGCTTTGGGAGCCAGGGCCAGAGATGCTGCAAACAGGTGTAGATATATACATATTACAATGTGAGAGCTTTGGGAGCCAGGGACAGACAGGCTGCAAACAACGGTAGGTATATAAATATTACAATGTGATAGCTTTAAGAGCCAGGGACAGAGAAGCTGCAAACAGCTGTAGGTATATAAATATTACAATGTGAGAGCTTTGGGAGCCAGGGACAGACAGGCTGCAAACAACTGTAGGTATATAAATATTACAATGTGATAGCTTTAAGAGCCAGGGACAGAGAGGCTGCAAACAGCTGTAGGTATATAAATATTACAATGTGAAAGCTTTGGGAGCCAGGGACAGACAGGCTGCAAACAACTGTATGTATATAAATATTACAATGTGATAGCTTTGGGAGCCAGGGCCAGAGATGCTGCAAACAGGTGTAGATATATAAATATTACAATGTGAGAGCTTTGGGAGCAAGGGACAGAGAGGCTACAAACAGCTATAGGTATATAAATATTACAATGTGAGAGCTTTGGGAGCAAGGGACAGAGAGGCTGCAAACAGCTATAGGTATATACATACTACAATGTGAGAGTGGTTCGGGAGCCAGGGGCTGCAAACAGCTGTAGGTATATACATTTTACAATGTGAGAGCTTGGGGAGCCAGGGGCAGAGAGGCTGCAAACAGCTGTAAGTATATAAATATTACAATGTGAGAGCTTTCGGAGCCAGGGGCAGAGATGCTGCAAACAGCTGTAAGTATATGAATATTTCAATGTGAGAGCTTTGGGAGCCAGGGGCAGAGAGGCTGCAAACAGCTATAGGTATATAAATATTACAATGTGAGAGCTTTCGGAGCCAGGGGAAGAGATGCTGCAAACAACTGTAGATATATAAATATTACAACGTGAGAGCTTTGGGAGCCAGGGGCAGAGAGGCTGAAAACAGGTGTAGATATATAAATATTACAATGTGAGAGCTTTGGGAGCTAGGGACAGAGAAGCTGCAAACAGGTGTAGGTATATAAATATTACAATGTGAGAGTGGTTCAGGAGCCAGGGGCTGCAAACAGCTGTAGGTATATACATTTTACAATGTGAGAGCTTTGGGAGCCAGGGGCAGAGAGGCTGAAAACAGGTGTAGATATATAAATATTAGAATGTGAGAGCTTTGGGAGCCAGGGGCAGAGAGGCTGAAAACAGGTGTAGATATATAAATATTAGAATGTGAGAGCTTTGGGAGCCAGGGGCAGAGAGGCTGCAAACAGCTGTAGGTATATACATTTTACAATATGAGAGTGGTTCGGGAGCCAGGGGCTTTAAACAGCTGTAAGTATATACATTTTACAATGTGAGAGCTTTGGGAGCCAGGGACAGAGAGGCTGCAAACAGCTGTAGGTATATAAATATGCGTTGTGAGAGCTTTGGGAGCCAGGGGCAGAGAGGCTGCAAACAGCTGTAGGTATATAAATATGCGTTGTGAGAGCTTTGGGAGCCAGGGGCAGAGAGGCTGCAAACAGCTGTAGGTATATAAATATTACAATGTGAGAGCTTTGGGAGCCAGGGGCAGAGAGGCTGCAAACAGCTATAGGCATATACATACTACAATGTGAGAGTGGTTCGGGAGCCAGGGGCTGCAAACAGCTGAAGGTATATACATTTTACAACTCAGCATCTGAAATATTTACCATAAGAAATCCATACTGAATGATTTTCTCCGTGTATTCTCCTACAGTAAAATCACCAAGAGTAGGTTTCATGTACTCTTTGTCCATGAACTGCAGTGTCTCTGGATAATGTAGAGCCCGTAGCTCTATGTCAAGGTCCTCTGTCAACTCCGGCTTCTCACCCTGCATACAGGATGGCCGTTTCCTCCACATCCTTATCAGAAGTCTACAATAACAAAACCGACATGATTAGTTGATACACGATACAATCTTACTGTACAACGCTTGAATTGTCTGGTTATGAATTAATTAATAACACAAAAAGTATACTCACGGCTTGACGATGTCGGAGAACACCTTCGGTAGGGGTTTGAGGAGCATGTTGGTGAGAATCTGGAAGGACAGCTGGGACATACACGTCCCCTCACAGCTATCACGGTACTCTGATCCGAGACCTAAGATACCAGCATAGTCAAACCTCTACAAAAAAATACAGAATGCTGTTATAGTAAGACAGCAGTCAGTCAGGTGGTCGGGTGGTGCAGTAGATAGCACACTTGCCTGTCACCAAGGCGGTGGAGTTTGATTCCCTGATCGGACGTGAAAAGGTATGGGGTCACCTGCATGACCACGTGAGTTTCCTACGGTTTCCTCCCACAATAAGACCCCCACAAGCTATCATCCGGGTCAACAAGAGTGATGAATATATATATATATAAGTTGAAATAACTTGTTTCATAATTGTTGTAAAATAAATAACAAGAGGTCGTGAGGGCCTGAATGGCTCACCTGGATATCTAAGCAATCATAGCAAAATATTCTCCAAATGAGATCCAAGGAAATAGGCCAGACCCCAAGGCCAATCCTTGTAGCATATCTGTATTAGATTTTTCATGCCCATTAATTTATGTATGGTTATGGGGTGGGGATCTCAGCTGTGTCCAAGCTGTGAAACTAGGTCCCTAGGGTTGTGGCTAGACAGATAAGTTCTAATATCATGACTGCATTCGTCTCTTTATGCCCAGCATTTGCATATATATGTTTGGGGTGGGGATCTCAACCGTTTCAAAGTTATGAGGGACTATGTCTCCAAAGATGGAGCCAGACCCCAGGGCTGTCCTGGAAGCATATGTGCATTCTTCTCTTTATACTCAGCAATTGTATATATGGTTATAGGGTGGGGATCTCAACTGTTTCTGTTTTTGGCCCCACCCCTTAGCCCGGGGGTCAGCCCCACCATTTGTACAATTTTGAATCCCCACCACCTAGGGATGCTTCCAGTCAAATATGGTTGATATCCATTTCTTAGTTCCAGAGAAGAAGTCGCTTAAAGCAATATAGCCAAATTGCCCACTTTTGGCCCCGCCCCTCAGCCCCCAGGGGGATCAGCCCCACCAATTGTACAATTTTGAATCTCCACCACCTAGGGATGCTTCCAGTCAAATATGGTTGATATCCATCTCTTGGTTCCAGAGAAGAAGTCGTTTATAGCAATATAGCCAAATTGCTCCCTTTTGGCCCTGACCCTCAGCACTCTGGGCGGTCAGCCCCACCTTTTGTACAATTTTTATGCCCATCACCTAGGGATGCTTCCAGTCAAATTTAGTTAAATTCCAATCAGTGGTTAAGAAGAAGAAGTCGTTTGAAAAAATTGTTGATGTACGGACGACAGATACCACAGTATGATATAAGCTCACTTTGGTCCTTCAGACCCGGTGAGCTAATAAAAGTTTACATTTTTGACAGCTGATGAACAGCAGAACTCACCCCTCTGAAGAATGCGATGTAAAAACTTGATGCGTAGTTGTTTGCAAATTGAAATGCGAAGAGTTTGATGATCAGGGCATCATCATACATAGTCTGGGTTCTGTGGTTTTCTGTAAATACAAATTATATCTTTGTTTAGTCCGTTAAAGATAAAGTGCTGCCACGGTGTTAATTTTGACTGTGAGTGCTAGGAACTGTGAGAGATTTAAACAACAGTCCAATATAAATGTAGTGAAACTGGACTGGTTCGATCGCCAGCAACCAGGTTAACTCAATTGGTTAGAGAGTCCGTCTAGAGTTCGGAGGGTCCATCCTATTGGTATAAATTGTGACACAGTGACCTACTTTTGATATGTGATCCACCATTCAAAGGCAGTCAGTCAATCAAGCCTCATTTAGTTAACACTTACATGTATACAGTTAGAATGTTTGACTTACCCCAATCTGTCAGCTTCACAGCCAGGTAATCGTAAACCTGTGGAAGCAAATTAATGTAATAACTTACTTATTGATACAATCTGATTAACAAATACTGTGAGTAATCTCCACGGTGGATAACCTCTGGCATCAAAAAACGAAGAAAGGGCCATAACTCTGTAAATAGTTGTTGGGGTATATGAACTGATTTCAATATAAAATTAAATCCCCCTTCCCCTTTGATACTTGTATACAAACTACTGTTGGTGACAAAGCTATATGACATATGTTCCCGATAAAGTGACATACAGACAGTTAATTAAAAGGACAGACTGACGGACAGAGTGCAAACCTACAGCCCCCTCCGGTAGTACCAGCACAGGGCTAATTGATGTGGAAACATAACTTAATTGATTTGCAGTGATGTAAAAATTCCTTAAAAACTGGACATGTTCAGAGAAGGGAGATATTGTATTTAACGTAGACATGTTCAGAGAAGGGAGATATTGTATTTAACGTAGACATGTTCAGAGAAGGGAGATATTGTATTTAACGTAGACATGTTCAGAGAAGGGAGATATTGTATTTAACGTAGACATGTTCAGAGAAGGGAGATATTGTATTTAACGTAGACATGTTCAGAGAAGGGAGATATTGTATTTAACGTAGACATGTTCAGAGAAGGGAGATATTGTATTTAACGTAGACATGTTCAGAGAAGGGAGATATTGTATTTAACGTAGACATGTTCAGAGAAGGGAGATATTGTATTTAACGTAGACATGTTCAGAGAAGGGAGATATTGTATTTAACGTAGACATGTTCAGAGAAGGGAGATATTATATTTAACGTAGACATGTTCAGAGAAGGGAGATATTGTATTTAACGTAGACATGTTCAGAGAAGGGAGATATTGTATTTAACGTAGACATGTTCAGAGAAGGGAGATATTGTATTTAACGTAGACATGTTCAGAGAAGGGAGATATTGTATTTAACGTAGACATGTTCAGAGAAGGGAGATATTGTATTTAACGTAGACATGTTCAGAGAAGGGAGATATTGTATTTAACGTAGACATGTTCAGAGAAGGGAGATATTGTATTTAACGTAGACATGTTCAGAGAAGGGAGATATTGTATTTAACGTAGACATGTTCAGAGAAGGGAGATATTGTATTTAACGTAGACATGTTCAGAGAAGGGAGATATTGTATTTAACGTAGACATGTTCAGAGAAGGGAGATATTGTATTTAACGTAGACATGTTCAGAGAAGGGAGATATTGTATTTAACGTAGACATGTTCAGAGAAGGGAGATATTGTATTTAACGTAGACATGTTCAGAGAAGGGAGATATTGTATTTAACGTTGACATGTTCAGAGAAGGGAGATATTGTATTTAACAGAGACATGTTCAGAGAAGGGAGATATTGTATTTAACAGAAACATGTTCAGAGAAGGGAGATATTGTATTTAACGTAGACATGTTCAGAGAAGGGAGATATTGTATTCAACGTAGACATGTTCAGAGAAGGGAGATATTGTATTTAACAGAGACATGTTCAGAGAAGGGAGATATTGTATTTAACGTAGACATGTTCAGAGAAGGGAAATATTGTATTTAACGCAGACAGGTTTTCGGTTATTTCTGTTTGTTTCATGACTTCTACGTCCCAAATGGACTCAGCATGTTTTCTTTCTGGTATATCTCAAATACATTGATTTCCTTGGTGCGTTTTTATAGTTCCAAAGTATACAGTAAAACAGAATTTACTATGTGCATGCTTCTGCTGTGAGTTCACATCTATATGTCATATTTGTTTCTCTTGTTCCTTAGTACACATCAAAACCTATAACAAAGTTTTTTCCAATAGTATACTCTTTTCTTAGGAACCTTATGGGCCTAGGGTTTGTTATGCACATGTTTTATATGTCTTTTATATACATAAACTAACACCATCTTACCATCTATTTGACCTGACTGACCTTGCCGAGGATGAGGATGGAGACAGTGTTGAGTACCGAGGACACAACAGTGGTTGCTAGGAGACAGGAGGTGGGGTCCATGTTTGGGCAGTAGTCAACACTAGTGATGACACGGTAGATGATAATGGAGACGACACTGGTCAGTACGATCAGGATCATGAACATCAGCGTGGAGAATGAGGTGAGGTATCGGATGTTCTGCTTCTTGGTTGGGAAATACATCTCCTTGGCTTTTGTCACAGGGTCCTGAAATACAATTGTTCATTACGGACAAACTCAAAACAATTAAAACAGGTGCAATATAGTTTGAAGCTAATTTAAACAAAAAAATGAGAGGACTTTGGTACCATCTTTGTTAATCTGAAATCTGAAATTAAATACTCATCGTTCATCCTTGAAAAAAGATACCGGTGACTTCTTATCCTTCACTCAAACACTTGCAATATTATATGAAGAAGTAATAGAACCACATCAGTTTCCTCCATTATACAAACAGGGCACCAAATGTAGGTTAGTTTATGATTTGAATCTAGTGTTTTTGTACCTCCTTAAATGTTGTGCTGAAGAACTCGGGCCTGTCTGGTTCGTTAGCCTCATACTCCTGTACGTCCCAAAGGTAGGCACAGCGGGCACACTTCTGCTTCCATAGTTCCAGGAACAAGGTACCTATAGAGTTAAAATGTTGTAAAGAAATTATTCTTGTTTATTACACAGATACCTTTTTTTTTTTTAAATCATTGTGCATAAAAATACCAAGTATCAGACATAAGTGGAAGCATTATTCTTTTACACTTCAAAGTGTTTTGTCTACTTACCCCAAATACAAATGATCAAGGCAAAATACGGGGTGACCTCATTGTCAAAGGAACTTTTGATGATTTCCAAGGCCAGGCCAGCAAGGGAGGATACACTGTTTAATATAATAAAGGATGTAAAAAATATGATATAAATATCATCTGGTGACAGGCAAGGGAGGATATTTTTACTTACAATAGACAGAAAACAAAGATAGAATCAGAGTTAAAATATTCTTTAAGTTGATAGAGAATAGCTGACCACATATCAAACTGTTCAATAAACTTACTCTTCAGGAGCTGCTGTGGTATTTGGAGCCAGTGTTGTCGTGGTAGAAGACTGGTATGGCAATGTTGTGCTCTTGCCTGTTATACTATATAAACAGAGAAAAACTATTTTTTATGTCTAATAAAAATAATACTTTTTTCAAGTATCATCAAATCAAACTTTACCACCTTTAGTGAGCTGACTTAAATTCCAATAAAAAGACCTTATAGGTCAGCTAATTGTTTGAAAATTTTCCTATTGAGGTATGAGCTCTATAGCGTTTTTTATTTCATGGTTCTAACTTTCACAGGTTCAAACACTCATGGGATCAAATTTTCACAGGTTCAAACACTTATGGGTTCAAACTTCCACATGGTCAAACATTAATGGGTTCAAACTTTCACATGTTCAGGGGTTTCAACTTTCACATGATCAAACATTCATGGGTTCTAACTTTCACAGGGTCAAACATTCATGGGTTCAAATGTTCACAGGTTCAAACATTCATGGGTTCAAACTTTCACAGGGTCAAACATTAATGGGTTCAAACTCTCACATGTTCATGGGTTAAAAGGTTTACAGGATAAAACATTCATAAGGTTCCAACTTGAACAGAATTAAATGTCCATGGGTTCAAACTTTCACATGGTCAAACATTCCTGGGTTTCAACTTTCACATGGTCAAACATTCATGGGTTTAAACTTTCACAGGGTCAAACGCTCAAGGGTTCAAGTTTCACAGGTTCACACTTTCACAGGTTCAAACTTTCACAGGTTCAAACTTTCACAGGTTCAAACACTCATGGGTTCAAACTTCCACATGGGCAAACATTCACAGGTACAAACTTTCAAAGGATAAAACACTCATGTGTTTAAACTTTCACAGGTTCAAACACTCATGGGTTCAAACTTTCACAGGTTCAAACTTTCACAGGTTCAAACGTATATGGGTTCAGCTTTCACAGGGTCAAACATATATGGGTTCAGCTTTCACAGGGTCAAACACTCAAGGGTTTCAAATTTCATAGGGTCAACCTTTCACAGTGTCAAACTTTCATGGGTTTCAAATTTCATAGGTTCAAACATTCACAGGAGCAAACTTTCACAGGGCAAAATTGGTTTAAACCCTCCATATGATTATGGATCAGAACCATCCACTCACCTGAGGTAGAGACCGTACAAGAAGATGGCAAACCCCAGCAGCATAGGAACCCACAGAGAAGTGATTAGCAGGCCACTCCAGGCAAAGTAGAAGGCAATCTTCTCCCCAAAGTAGTTGCGTATTTTCATGAGAGGCTGGTATTTGTACAGGGATGTCCACCGTTTGTCTAAGTCTTCTCTTGGATCGTCCTGGATATTAAAGTTCTGATTCAGTTCTTTCTTATGCTCCTTCTTCATCCTGGATTCGGCATCCTCGTATTTAATGGAGCATTTGGACACATCATGGAGAATGAGTGAGTCTGTGTATACTTCCTTCATCCTCAGGTAGGGTAAAGCTGTTAACAGTGAACCAGAGTAGGGTAAAGCTGTTAACAGTGAACCAGAGGAGGCAACACTAGAAACAGTCAACCAGGTAGGGTAAAGCTGTTAACAGTTAACCAGAGTAGGGTAAAGCTGTTAACATTGAACCAGAGTAGGGTAAAGCTGTTAACAGTGAACCAGAGGAGGCAACACTAGAATCAGTCAACCAGGTAGGGTAAAGCTGTTAACAGTTAACCAGAGTAGGGTAAAGCTGTTAACAGTGAACCAGAGTAGGGTAAAGCTGTAAACAGTGAACCAGAGGAGGTAACACTAGAAACAGTGAACCATGAAGGGTAACACTGTAAACAGTGAACCAGGTAGGGTAAAGCTGTTAACAGTGAACCAGAGTAGGGTAAAGCTGTTAACAGTGAACCAGAGGAGGTAACGCTAGAAACAGTCAACCAGGTAGGGTAAAGCTGTTAACAGTGAACCAAAGTAGGGTAAAGCTGTTAACAGTGAACCAGGTAGGGTAAAGCAGTTAACAGAGAACCAGAGTAGGGTAAACCTGTTAACAGTGAACCAGAGGAGGTAACACAAGAAACAGTGAACCATGTAGGGTAACACTGTAAACAGTGAACCTAGTAGGGTAAAGCTGTTAACAGTAAACCAGAGTAGGGTAAACCTGTTGACAGTGAACCAGAGGAGGTAACATTAGAAACAGTGAACCAGAGTAGGGTAAAGCTAATAACAATGAACCAGGTAGGGTAAAGCTGTTAACAGTAAACCAGAGAAGGGTAAAGCTGTTAACAGTGAACCAGGTAGGGTAAAGCTAATAACAATGAACCAGGTAGGGTAAAGCTGTTAACAGTTAACCAGAGTAGGGTAAAGCTGTTAACAGTGAACCAGATTAGGGTAAACCTGTTAACAGTGAACCAGAGGAGGTAACACTAGAAACAGTGAACCATGTAGGGTAACACTGCAAACAGTGAAACAGAGTAGGGTAAAGCTGTTAACAGTGAACCAGAGTAGGATAAACCTGTTAACAGTGAACCAGAGGGGTTAACACTAGAAACAGTGAACCAGAGTAGGGTAAAGCTGTTTAACAGTGAACCAGGTAGGGTAAAGCTGTTAACAGTGAACCAGAGTAGGGTAAAGCTGTTAACAGTGAACCAGGTAGGGTAAAGCTGTTAACAGTGAACCAGAGGGGTTAACACTAGAAACAGTGAACCAGGTAGGGTAAAGCTGTTAACAGTGAACCAGGTAGGGTGAAGCTCTTAACAGCAAACCAGAGTAGGGTAAAGCTGTTATCAGTGAACAAGAGTAGGGTAAAGCTGTTAACAGAGAACCAGAGTAGGGTTAAGCTGTTAACAGTGAACCAGAGTTGGGTAAAGCTGTTAACAGTGAACCAGAGTAGGGTAAAGCTGTTAACAGTTAACCAGAGGAGGTAACGCTAGAAACAGTGAACCATGTAGGGTAACATGGTAAACAGTGAACCTAGTAGGGTAACAATGTAAACAGTGAACCAGGTAGGGTAAAGCTGTTAACAGTGAACCAGGTAGGGTAAAGCTGTTTACAGTGAACCAGGTAGGGTAAAGCTTTTAACAGTGAACCAGGTAGGGTGAAGCTGTTAACAGTAAACCAGAGTAGGGTAAAGCTGTTAACAGTGAACCAGAGTAGGGTTAAGCTGTTAACAGTGAACAAGAGTAGGTAACGCTAGAAATAGTGAACTAGGTAGGGTAAAGCTGTTAACAGTGAACCGGAATAGGTAACGCTAGAAACAGTGAACCAGGTAGGGTAAAGCTGTTAACAGTGAACCAGGAAGGGGAACGCTGTTAACAGTGAACCAGAAAGAGTAAAGTTGTTAACAGTGAACCAGAAAAGTTAACACTAGAAACAAGGAACCAGGTAGTAAACTGCTGTAAACAGTGAACCAGAGTAGGTAAAGTGTGTTAACAGTGAACCAGAGTAGGTAACGCTAGAAACAACGAACCAGGTACGGTAAAGCTGTTAAAAGTGAACTAGAGGAGGTAACGCTAGAAACAGTGATCCTGGTTGTATAACACTGTAAACAGTGAACCAGGTAGCATAACACTGTAAACAGTAAACCAGGTAGTATAATACTGTAAACAGTGAACCTGGTAGTATAACACTGTAAACAGTGAACCAGGTAGTATAACACTGTAAACAGTGAACCAGGTAGCATAACACTGTAAACAGTAAACCAGGTAGTATAATACTGTATACAGTGAACCTGGTAGTATAACACTGTAAACAGTTAACCAGGTAGTATAACATTGTAAACAGTGAACAAGGTAGTATAAAACTGTAAACAGTGAACCAGGTAGTAAAACACTGTAAACAGTGAACCAGAGGAGGTAACACTAGAAATAGTGAACCAGGTAGTATAACACTGTAAACAGTTAACCAGGTAGTATAACACTGTAAACAGTGAACAAGGTAGTATAACACTGTAAACAGTTAACCAGGTAGTATAAAACTGTAAACAGTTAACCAGGTAGTATAAAACTGTAAACAGTTAACCAGGTAGTATAAAACTGTAAACAGTTAACCAGGTAGTATAAAACTGTAAACAGTTAACCAGGTAGTATAACACTGTAAACAGTTAACAAGGTAGTATAACATTGTAAACAGTGAACAAGGTAGTATAACACTGTGAACAGTGAACAAGGTAGTAAAACACTGTAAACAGTGAACCAGGTAGTAAAACACTGTAAACAGTGAACCAGAGGAGGTAACACTAGAAATAGTGTACCAGGTAGTATAACACTGTAAACAGTGAACCAGGTAGTATAACACTGTAAACAGTTAACCAGGTAGTATAACACTGTAAACAGTGAACAAGTTAGAATAACACTGTAAACAGTGAACAAGGTAGAATAACACTGTAAACAGTGAACCAGGTAGAATAACACTGTAAACAGTGAACAAGGTAGATTTACACTGTAAACAGTGAACAAGGTAGAATAACACTGTAAACAGTGAACAAGGTAGTATAACACTGTGAACAGTGAACAAGGTAGTATAACACTGTAAACAGTGAACCAGGTAGTATAACACTGTAAACAGTGAACCAGGTAGTATAACACTGTAAACAGTGAACCAGGTAGTATAACACTGTAAACAGTGAACCAGGTAGTATAACACTGTAAACAGTGAACCAGGTAGTATAACACTGTAAACAGTGAACCAGGTAGTATAACACTGTAAACAGTGAACCAGGTAGTATAACACTGTAAACAGTGAACCAGGTAGTATAACACTGTAAACAGTGAACCAGGTAGTATAACACTGTAAACAGTGAACCAGGTAGTATAACACTGTAAACAGTGAACCAGGTAGTATAACACTGTAAACAGTGAACCAGGTAGTATAACACTGTAAACAGTGAACCAGGTAGTATAACACTGTAAACAGTGAACCAGGTAGTATAACACTGTAAACAGTGAACCAGGTAGTATAACACTGTAAACAGTGAACCAGGTAGTATAACACTGTAAACAGTGAACCAGGTAGTATAACACTGTAAACAGTGAACCAGGTAGTATAACACTGTAAACAGTGAACCAGGTAGTATAACACTGTAAACAGTGAACCAGGTAGTATAACACTGTAAACAGTGAACCAGGTAGTATAACACTGTAAACAGTGAACCAGGTAGTATAACACTGTAAACAGTGAACAAGGTAGTATAACACTGTAAACAGTGAACCAGGTAGTATAACACTGTAAACAGTGAACCAGGTAGTATAACACTGTAAACAGTGAACCAGGTAGTATAACACTGTAAACAGTGAACCAGGTAGTATAACACTGTAAACAGTGAATAAATTGGCTAACTACAGCATTCTTTACAAACCTTTCATCATCAGGTAACTTAATTCTACAAACAGTAAACATGTTAAAGAGGTTAAATATAGTAATCCTTCTTTGTCTTTTCAATGTCCATGTCATTTTTATTATAGAAGACCCATGTAATGTATTTAGACAGGTATGGACTATCTATTTGTACTTCATGCAACGTAATTAAGAAATGCATTCAATTACCTATTTTTTGTAACTTCTTTTCTTCTTCATCATCTTCATCGTCATCGTCATCATCATCTAGACATACACAGCACTGTCTCGTAGCTGAAGCATCAATTCACAAATTAATTAAAGTTGTGTCTGCAATTTCATTTTTTATTCTTTCCCTAACTGAATATTGTTTTGCAATATGCTTAATTCCCTGCACTGTTATCACAGTTCTTTATATGTAATGCTTCTAGTTGTCATAAAATTACAAATCTGTATTTCTAACTTTAGCTGGAATATAAATTTACATACACAGAAACACCCCTCCCCTCCATCACCCCCATCTGTTCTTCCTCATCCTTACCCAACACTTGCTTCTTACACCAACCCTCCCCTCTATCACCCCCATCTGTACTTCCTCATTTTTACCCATCCACCACTTGTTCCTCACACCAACCCTCCCCTCCATCACCCCCATCTGTACCTCCTCATCCTTACCCACCACTTGCTCCTCACACCAACCCTCCCCTCCATCACCCCCACCTGTACTTCCTCATCCAACCATCATCTGCCCTTCACACTACCACTCCCAATTCTTACCCCACTTTCCCCTCACACTACCACTCCCAATTCTTACCCCACTTTCCCCTCACACTACCACTCCTCATTCTAACCCCACTTGACCCTCACACCACCTCTTCCTACCCTCCCCCTTTCTTTGCCCCTCCCACAACCCTATCCCCCATCTCCCCTGACTTGTCACATTCATACATCTGTTTAACCTTCCTCCTTTCTACTCACGTCCTTTGCTGTCTTTCAGTTGAAAGTCCATAGCCTCAAGATCAGTTCGAATATCCAAGTTGATCAAAATATGTTTTACCTGTGACAAAAAATCAAACTAACTTTCTCATTGCATCTAGATAACACCTTATCAATGTGTATATACCTTGTGGTATATATCTCAACAATAAGTTCACAAATACATTTCTTGGGGGAAAAACTGTTTTATGGTAGCAAGATTTTTTTCGTTATGTTGTTGATATGATCTTGTTACCAATAGGGACCTAACAGAGACCGGGCCTTGTTATGTTAGAGATTACTACTTACCAATAGGGACCTAACAGAGGTCGGGCCTTGTTAAGTTAGAGATATCTACTTACCAATAGGGACCTAACAGAGGTCGGGCCTTGTTATGTTAGAGAGATATCTACTTACCAATAGGGACCTAACTGAGGTTGGGCCTTGTTATGTTAGAGATATCTATACTTACCAACAGAGACCTAACAGAGGTCGGGCCTTGTTAAGTTAGAGATATCTACTTACCAATAGGGACCTAACAGAGGTTGGGCCTTGTTTTGTTAGAAATATCTACTTACCAATAGGGACCTAACAGAGGTTGGGCCTTGTTATGGTAGAGATATCTACTTACCAATAGGGACCTAACAGAGGTCGGGCCTTGTTATGTCAGAGATATCTACTTACTAACAGGGACCTAACAGAGGTCGGGCCTTGTTATGTTAGAGACATCTACTTACCAATAGGGACCTAACAGAGGTCAGGTCTTGTTATGTTAGAGATATCTACTTACCAATAGGGACCTAACAGAAGGTCTGAAGAATGTGTTGGGTTCCTCGTGACCCTTGTAGATATGGTAACGGTCCATGATGAAGGGCGTACTTTCAAAGTCCTCTGCAGCATAAGAAATGTATAGTGTCTTAAAGGGCAACATCAACATTACACATAGTTTCAAGTGTGGTACACTGTATTAACAATAGTCAGTGTGTTAAGGGAAATATAATAAAATAGTCAGTATGTCTAGGGAAATATGATTAAATAGTCAGTGTGTCAAGGGAAATATGATAATATAGTCAGTGTGTCAAGGGAAATATGACAAAATAGTCAGTGTGTCAAGGGAAATATGATATATAGTCAGTGTCAAGGGAAATAAGATAAAATACTCAGTGTGTCAAGGGAAATATGATAAAATAGTCAGTGTGTCATGGGAAATATGATAAAATAGTCAGTGTGTCAAGGGAAATAGGATAAAATAGTCAGTGTGTCTAGGGAAATATGATATATAGTCAGTGTCAAGGGAAATAAGATAAAATACTCAGTGTGTCAAGGGAAATATGATAAAATAGTCAGTGTGTCTAGGGAAATATGATAAAATAGTCAGTGTGTCAAGGGAAATATGATAAAATAGTCAGTGTGTCAAGGGAAATAGGATAAAATAGTCAGTGTGTCAAGGGAAATAGGATAATATAGTCAGTGTGTCAAAGGAAATTTGATAATATAGTCAGTGTGTCAAGGAAAATATAATGAAATAGTCAGTGTGTCAAGGGAAATATGATAAAATAGTCAGTGTGTCAAGGGAAATATGATAAAGTCAGTGTGTCAAAGGAAATTTGATAATATAGTCAGTGTGTCAAGGGAAATATGATAAAGTCAGTGTGTCAAAGGAAATTTGACAATATAGTCAGTGTGTCAAGGAAAATATGATAAAGTCAGTGTGTCAAAGGAAATTTGATAATATAGTCAGTGTGTCAAGGAAAATGTAATGAAATAGTCAGTACGTCAAGGGAAATATGATAAAATAGTCAGTGTGTCAAGGAAAATATTATAAAATAGTCAGTGTGTCAAGGGAAATATGATAAAATAGTCAGTGTGTCAAGGAAAATATGATAAAGTCAGTGTGTCAAAGGAAATTTGATAATATAGTCAGTGTGTCAAGGGAAATGTAATGAAATAGTCAGTATGTCAAGGGAAATATGATAAAGTCAGTGTGTCAAGGGATATTTGAACAATATCATACCAATGTCCTCGGGATCAGGATCGAAAAAGTCTTTCTCTTTTTGTCGCAGCCATCCCCGAAATGATCCACAGCACTGTCCTTCAGGGGGGTTGTCATTTCTGGTTTCTGGTTTGGCTTCTCTCTTCAGTTTCCATGGCTGTTTGCTGTTTGTCGAGGCAGGCGGAGGATCTGCTCCTGTATATTGCTGAAATTGTCGCAATAAAATCGTAAAGGATTCCATAGCTGATCTATATGAAGCAATCTGACAAGCAGACCTGTTTCACAAACAGTCAACACCAATGTGTAGGTAACAGTGACTCCTAGGTCTGTACTCTAAAATCAACACATTTAATACATACCTTGAGGTTACAAATACCACAGGAATACTACAGGATTTGATGATTCTCTTTAAAACAGGTTCCAGATTGTTTTGGAAAAATTAAATTATAAAAACTAATTACCATGCTTTCTATCTGAATAATTTTTTATTCTGGATACAAAAATGAAAACTCTCAGTGGCACTTAAAGATATCAGATTAATAAGTGTCATACAGGGATTGACTTGACTCAAAAGTTCAATGCAGAGCAGCAATCTGGAGGGTGGGCATGTCTTTGTAACCCTAATCACCAGTCAAAAGGTTCATTGTACTATCTACCATAGTTTTATTGACAAAAAAGTATCATTAAATGAAAAGTTGACATGTGAAAATCCTTCTCTGTATCACATATCAATTGTGTATGCCACTTTCCCATAAGTGTCCTGATTGGGTTCACTGATGTTACAGGCCTATTGCACCACTTTATAAGGTATCATCTTTAGTGAATTCCATCAGAATCAGAAACATGTTAATTGTTAAATAATTAACCTCATTATATAAAAGCCAATAATATACTGAAATTTCACCTAGCATTGATTATGGACTACATGGGGTATTGGGGTAAAAGTCGCACAGAGGAGGGATGTGGTAAGGAAAGTGTTCCTAGGAAGCATCACATTATATACCTAGCTGCTAAACAGAAAATAAACAAAACAGCAGACAAAGAACACCAGACTAGGAGAAACATACACGTACACATGCATCTGTGGTATAAACTTATGTCAATCACAAACTGAAAATACATGCCAGAGATACTTCATTGATCTGGATATAAGCCTATGCCTGGCAATAAGCCTATGCCTGGTTATAAGCCCACTCATATTTATTGCAGTTCAGTAAAAAGCTAACAAATGCTATTTCATTCTGCTTTGATGAGTCACCTCTTTATTTTGATGAAGAGATTATGTGTTGGCACCCTGGGGTTATTGGAGGATAAATACAGTAATTATGTATGAACCATTGATCTGGCTATGGTAAATGTTGTTGATATTGAATTTAAATTCTTACATTAAAATTTGAGTTGATGGCTCATAAGTGATAAACATTTATAGACACGAAACTAAGGGATTCTATATCTGAAATATCACCAAACTTTATCTGTGAAATTTCACACAAGGAGAGATGTAGGGTAATACAAAACAAGCAGCTCTATCATGACACAAGCAGCATGCACTTTGCTTACTGATGTTGCTACCTGCTTCGCAGACATTCGTTTGGCCTTTTCTTTCATAAGTATATTTCTCAGGGTCTGTGCTGTACATTTCTGAAATGAAGTTTTCAAACCATCCCTAAAATTCCTGAGGTCTGCAGCAAACATATCATCCATTTTTGGTTAAGGCAGGTGTAAGCTTGTGTATTTAGGAAATTACCCTATACATTTATTACCAAACCATGTTTGGCCTATTCAAATTTCGGTACCAGTTTCTAGGAAATTGTAGTTTGATAGAGATTTTGATAGATTTGTATGCAAGAGACTTTGATAAGTTTGTATGCTAGCGACTTTGATAAGTTTGTATGATAGAGACTTTGATAGGTTTGTATGCAAGAGACTTTGATAGGTTTGTATCAAGAGACTTTGATAGGTTTGTATGTGGCACCCGGTTAGATTTGTTAATTCATTTTAATTCCTTATATTCCTAAAGATTCACTAAAATATATTGAGTCTTATTAGGATTACTTTGTCTAACAATGTGTCGTTGATTTTAATCCGTAATCCGCGCTCCGCATCCGCAATCGCTGTCGCCTAGTCTCGTGTGTTACTTTCGTTTTGAATGGAATGTATGAGAGTGTGACGTAATTGTGAATGTTGTATACCTGTTTGACCAGTGACAAACTGACCTCTGACACCTGTCGCATTGCGTGATATTTCCCGCTTCAATGTTTTCTTTGCTTCTCTGTCCTTTCTTTTCCATTCACTTCCTATCTGCTCCTGGTAGAGGCAACATCGCCATATATACATACTTACGAAATATACATACCTGGCAGATTATACTAGTGGATCCCCGGTACCACATACAGGGTAAGCTATTGGTCAAATACAATATATAAGCTATTGCTAAACTTAATATTTATGCTGATAAATATTAATGCTCCATAATTTATATTTATTGGGAATGCTATAACGTGCCGTAAATTGCTCATATATAATTATGGGTGTGGTTATTGACTAAGTGAACACTTTCCTTATTGAACACTGATTTTATACTTCGGTGTAGTCTACTGGTATTATAAGTATTATGTGAACCATATTCATATATAGTTTTCTAGGCTACTTTAAATAATTGTTTTATAAACCTTACGTCTTTTAAAGTATCGTACGTTACAACGTGAATTGTCCATATGTAAATGTATTGTTAGGCGAGTTCGTTTCTGTATATTGTCTCATGTGTGTTTTAATATTGTTACAGGGAAATAAATACCCACTAAATCAAAGATATATGGTATTCGTCATCTATTGCAAAAGAACCCAAACACCACATGTATGCAAGAGACTTTGATAGGTTTGTATGATAGGGACTTTGATAGGTTTGTATGCAAGAGACTTTGATAGGTTTGTATGATAGAGACTTTGATAGGTTTGTATGCAAAAGACTTTGATAAGTTTTATGCTAGTGACTTTGATAAGATTGTATGCTAGAGACTTTGATTAGTTTGTAGAATAGAGACTTTGATAGGTTTGCATGCAAGAGACTTTGATAGGTTTGTATGCAAGAGACTTTGATAAGTTTGTATGATAGAGGTTTTGATAGGTTTGTATGCAAGAGACTTTGATAAGTTTATATGCTAGCGACTTTGATAAGTTTGTATGATAGAGACTTTGATAGGTTTGTATGCAAGAGACTTTGATAGGTTTGTATGATAGAGACTTTATTAAGTTTGTATAACAGACATTTCTAAACAAATTAGAGTTATAAAGTTATAAATAAAATTGTGTGTAAATATTATGGTTAACTAAGTATAATTACACTCTGGGTCCTCTTGAATAAAACATCTCAACTCAAAGGTTTCCCATAGACTATACATTGCCTGAGATTTTCCTCAACTTTTAGATGTTAGAAGTGGTCCCTGATTAACCTACAGTAAACTTAATTAATTTCTCAGACTGAAGCAAAATATTTTCTAGCGTAGAACGTTCCAACCAAAGCTCTGTCTCCATTATCTGTTGTACTTTCTGTTTAAACCTGTCTTATTAAGAGGAATAACAAGGACATTCTTTTGTCTATAGGACCCGAGTTATTCTAACCACAATAATACAATTAGTACAATAAAGTGGTCACCTAGTGTAGAATTTTCTGTCAACAACTGAAGACAGTTAACTCTGAAGACACATTTAGACTCTTCCAATTCAATGGTTGGAATAGTGAATCCTGAAATTTCAGGGGTGAATGAGTTAAAAGCTTTGAATTTACAATGATAAATACTTACAGAATCCAGTCTCATTTCTAAATTCACAATCTCTGCTTCTTTACAAAGTCTCTCAAATGAGCAATGTAACATTTTATACACATTATTTCCATGTTGCTTCTCCTTAATTTTGAATTGTTCCTGCTTCAACCTTTTCTCAAAACAGTCTCGTAAGATATTCCGTCTGAGGCGTTCCCTTTTTTCCTCAGCGTCCTCCTTTTCATCGTCCCTGTTCCTCGGGTGAACCAATACCAAATCAATCCTTTTTTCCGATTTTTTCCTGTTCGGGTTTTCAGAAACTCTTTTAAGAGTTTGTTTGAATCTGTGAGAAGCTTCCAGAAGAGTTCCTAGTCTACTCCGCGGGGCCCCACTACCCTTCTTCCGCGGTTTATTGACACGAGACATGCTTGTTAGTGGCTGTGATCAGTTTTATAAATTATTTCTATAAAAATCCTCCAAGGTTAACATCCATGTTGAGCAATGGGGACTAGAGACACCTATAAAAAAAATAAAAACATTAAAAAACATTAAAAAAATATCAAACATGCCATGGATTAAATCAGTTACCTTATATGATTTTATAATTTAATTAGTAAAATAGTCATCGTCCAAAATCCAATAGAAGATCGGTGGCTGTATGCATAATACAATCCCTTTAAAACAATGGTGAAACACACAAGTATTTCATTTGAATATATAAAACATCTGTGTTTTCAATGAAATTAACAAGCATTTACAATGAACGTTCTGTCAGGTAACAATGCTTTATAATCTATTACACAAGTTATTGATTTATGTTCTGGAAAGTGCATACTCATAATATTTACAGTGATAATGACCTGTAACGCACAGCAGACAGAGATAATGTGTGTAGTTAGTGCATCAATATTTCATATACCCATTACAGAGATACCGGACACAGACAGTGCATAGTCAGCTGTATTTAGTAAAATGTTATCTATCGTAACATCCCAGACAAGTGAGTAAAGGCATCCTAAATAACAGGAAAGTGAAAATGCGATGGACAGACAGGAATTCACACTCGGACTTCCTAACTTGTAATTCTGGATGGTCTGTTGAACCTACTAAGTTACCTGGACACAGACAGTCACCCGGCCCAGTTCTGCTACATTCCTCCCTCTATTTTCTTCACTGCTCAAGACAACTCTATTTACAACCCAGGTTCGGGTATATCCCTATGCCATTAATATTCAACCAGTACTTGAAACAAGGTTTGGTCACAGGAGAGGGAAAATACCAGACCAGGATTCAAACCCAGGACCTCCTAGCTCTAGACAGACCGGGTTATCATAAATGTCTCTGGTAGCATTTAGTTATGACACTTAATATCCTCGACTTAAATATGAGACACCATTAGAGATCCCCTGCATGTCCCACAGTTGTTTATCGCAAATACAGTAACCTCCCCTTAATTTTATTTTGGATATAATTGACAGTAGAACAGTTGAGGCAGAACACTTCCATTGACTTAAAGTGGCTCAGTTGGTTGGAGAGATAAATTTAGTGAATTTATCTTCATAGATAATAAAGTCCAAAGATCAAATCCCATCTAGCACTTTTGAATTTTCTGCTCTCAGAATACTGTTGTTGATTATGAGTTTTTTTCATTTCATCTTTATTATTTTTGATATAAGTCCTGAAAGATATGCATGGTTTTCTTTTAAGAACAGATTTTTTCAAAGCTAAAGTCAAACGCGCCATAAGAAGCTCACGGCTTTCAATCGGCGTCATCGCTATATAACTATATGAACTATATAAGTCGTACTGGAAAAAAAATGTTTCCAATGCATATTTAGTTGATTCTGCTAATACTACAAAAGTAATTAGTAATTTCACATTAAATGTAATGGGTTTTGTTCAACAAAATTACAAAATTGACATTCAAAGATGAAGTATGTGTGCTATATAGACCAGGACATCCTAATAAAATATTAGGACCTAATAGGTACATGCCTTTATAGCATCATTGCCATCATCAGTGATCCGACAAATTTCAGCCATATACATTTAAGTGCTTTTTAACTGTTTACTTGTTTAATGATAATGTAACACATACACCACAAATCATCTAATTACAACATCATCCTATCTGTCGTGACGTTTAATCACAATATACAGTTAATGTAATGATCAGTCCGGGTTAACACGGCCTAATTTATATACAGCAGGTGCTTGTTGACAGACCGTTATAATAACAGAACACACCGTTATCTACACGAATACTCCACATATTTAGTGGAATTCGTGTTCTGATATTTTACAATCTGTTGATGAATCGACATCGGTTATAAATTGTGATTTTCAAGGTACATACTTACCGCTAACTCGTTGTGGACAAGTGTCATATTTTGAAGCATGCGACAAGCTGTTGACATGTTGCCATGTTGTAATGGGAGATAACTCCGAAACGTCGTGGACCTGCAGGGTGACAGTTGATCAATCAATTATGGCATGTCTGAACTTGAACAGTGGCCAATAGACCTAACGCCATCTCTAAACAAATAGCGGCATATGGCATTGCTATGTACATTATAAATACATGTGTATACAACTTAATTCTTACTTTATATCACACAAATAGCAACACTGCTTCCCTGTTTTTGGAATATGAAATATACGTCTATATAATTAAAATACACGATAATGCATAATCAGGACTACTTCACACCTGATGTAACACCTATATGTATCGATTATATAACGCTCACCGTTAATTTAAAGTTTTATCATTCTATAAATATTTAGGTAGAATCTATCTCCGTGATGAGACCGACCCAAAACGCTTCTAATCTGCATGTAATTATACAGTCAGTGCCTCTAGATATACTGTTTAAAAGGCGTAATTGTGAGTCATAAAGACGTGTTTAATGATGATAGTGCAACCAAGCGGTGTGACTCTATATATATTACATGGGCGTTTTCGATACATTTTCGCACTGTTATTAAATATTGGTGGACCGAAAGCGTATTTAAAGCCGAGCGCCTTTATTTATTTATTTCTTTTACAGAAAGATAATTTTCAAGACACAGACCTGCAGACCATATCATTTAAAAGAAATATATATATATATATATATTACAACTTAAAGGATCGATAAAAGTTCTAGTTGCGTTCCCTTCAGAAACTAACAGTTTTCCCGCCGGAATTTATGAATTGACGTAGATTTTACCAGCACTAGCAGTGCACCATTTCGGCTGTTTCCCGCCCACAGCCCGGTTAGACGATTTACAGGAACGGGCAGGAACGGGCAGAAACGGGCAGGAACGGGCAGAAACGGGCAGGAACGGGCAGAAACGGGCAGGAACGGACAGAAAATTATTGATTATTAAATATATTAATTATATATATATTATATATATTTAATTAACAGTATCGGGTATAAGATATAATTGATAAAATGACTGCAGTTACATGATCGGTGCAGAATCGGACTTAATCATATAGAATTATGTCCTTATTACTTATGAATTTACGGTATTATACTTTTTTCGGGTATAAGATATAGATATTAGATATATTTAAGTATCGTTATCGAGTATAAGGTATATTTGTTAAAAGGATTGCAACAAATTAAGAGTATTGTATTGATATGGATCGGGCAGGAACAGGCGACGATTTACAGGAACGGGCAGAAACGGGCAGA